AATCACCCTGAAATAATTTTCACTTGGTTATAACTGAACGATAACGAAATGTAACGTTGACAATAGCATTAATTGCTACTTTATAACTTACTTGGACGTGAAATGCTCTAGCTAGTTGATAGCAACTTTCTGCCCGCATGGCTTCGTTTTCCGTGTTGTGAAACGCGTGCAGCGCTAAATGTTGAACTTTATTGTAATCTTTTTTGAAGAAGAAATGGTTCGCTAAATGATTCAGCACCATCGGATTTGTCGAATCGATCGTGTACGCCTTCGATAACATTTGCACGCCAGTTCTTATACTGTCGGGTTGCTGCTGATTTAGTTTCAAGACCGAAAGGCCAACTAGTGCCCCGACACATTGTCCATCCAAATGTAAAGCTCTCTCAAACGCAAGTCGCGCTTTTTCTTGATTATTCAATTTCATGAAACAATGTCCCATTCCCAGTCTAACAGCGGCTGGACAATTTGGATTAGTTCTAAGAGCTTTCTTATAAAATGCAAGGGCACCTCTGTAGTCTTTTTTGTTAAAAGCGATGCAAGCTTTGCCGAGCAGAGAAGGTATATTATTTGGCGACTGATTTAGCACAAAATTAAATTGCGCATCAGCCTGCTCCATTTTGTCGCCTTCGAGCAGGCAGAAATAAGCTCGGCCAAGCAAATGATTCTGAAATAAAATAAAAACAGCAAACATTAAAGAAAATCGTGGATATTGTTGTTAAAACTCTATAGTAGCTACGTACCTGGTCATACATGATAATCTTGTCGGCTGTTGTATACAATAATGTGGCTTTCGTAAAAAGATCTCTCTTTTTATCTTTATTCTTTTCTTTGTTGGCTTCCTGGACATAATAGGCAGCCAACATGTCAAGAGCTCGCATCTGATCCTTTTCATAGTCACGGTAATCAATATTTGCATCAATACGAGAAGATTCGAGTATCTTAATGAAATCTTCAATCTTTTGCTGCTTATAATACTCAAGCTGAAATGAGAAACAAACTTATATAGATTCTGTAACACATAATTTTCAATTAAAGCTGTCTATTCTACATACGGCCAAATTGACCCAAATGGTAAGTTGGGCATGTTCTTGCCGCAGAATCCCCAAAACTTCATCTCCGTCTGGTAACTGGTCTAAATAAAGTTCTATAACCTGTGAAATTAAAAAGAACAATTAAAATCTTATCTTACATGAATATCTTGCACTTTTATCATTTTCTAGTGTCAATGTTGATATCTCAATAAAGATTAATACGATTACATTGTGAATAATATCAAATTATCCATAAGATGGACAAATAATATTTGGGTCATAATGTATTGTAGAAATAAGGATAAACATAAGGAAGTAATCTATTAAATTATGTTTTACATACAAAATCATTACAATTATGTTTGTTATGACCCATGTATAAGATAAAATTAACACAGGAACAGATTATTTAAAAACATGTATAGGTAGGATTAGATTGTGGCTGCGTTCGCTTTGGACGCTTTCGTGCTGAAAGCATCACTCCATCTTTTTTCAACATGTAATGAGCAATAGAGATAGACTGACGCTTTCAGCATGAAAGCGCCCAAAGCGAACGCAGCCTGTATCCTAAATGCAAAATCATAGACTTGCAATTATGTGCTGATATATGATAAAATTGTCACAGATAGAAAGAATTAACAATACTTGAGGATAGATAGAATTAAATTGTATTTTAAATAGCTTATACTCGCGTACTGGTACATAAGACACAATTGTCACAGGCAAAAAGAATTAAAAGTACTTGGAAACACATGTGAATTGAAGTATATTTTAAATACAAAGTCGCAGGCTTACAATCGTACTGATATATAACATGCAATTATTGCAAACAGAAGAAATAACGATATGTGAGAACATAAACGCAAGAGGAGTAAAAGAGTTTAAAAAAAAATTAAACAAAGTAGAGATCTCAAAATTCCATTCAGAATAAATAATCAACGCAAAGCTGTTGAAGCAACATATTGCGACACGAGTGTGTATGTGTGTACACACGTGACATTTGATATAATACAGTATTTATTTGGCCAAAAGAAATATATTCTTTCCGTTGAGGTTAGGTCTGTATTGACGTCGCTGACCATCGCAAAAATTTTGCGACTCCCCTAATTCCCCTAATTACGGTCAAGATCTCGTTACGGGACTCGTGAATTAACGATATAATTAGCAGAGAAGATATATTCACCTCGTCTGTGTCGCGGAGTGGTATCTCTATAGAGCCCGCCATTGTAACGTGTATTTTCACGTTAGGGCGGTCGAATCACATTTGATCACACTGCAGCAGTCTGCACTATAAACCATACACTACACTGCACCAAATTAAATACGGACCGTATTATAACTTGACGTATCTCGGTATCTAATATCTTACGGCTTTTCTGCACGATCATAATAAAATGATATGACTGTTTGACTCTCTCCCTCACACAAAGTAGCCAGCCATGGCCATAGATGTAGTACGATATAGTAATCGTCACGCCATGAATGGCCGTGATACCGGGGCCCGATTCGCTAACGAGAAACGTATGCGCAAACTCTGCTCTAACAGAAAGGCTGCAACGTGATTGGCTATCGCACAGTTTTCAGCCAATAAGCTTGCAGCTTTTCTGTTAGAGCGGAGTTTACGCATACGTTTGTCGATAGAGAATCGGGCCTCAGAGAGAAACCTCTCTGATGATACTACCACTGACTGTACTATAGTATCCATGTATCATATACTTTGCTGCTGTCCACTGCTGTCCACTCAGCACTACGAATGGTCCGAAACGTTCGGACCAATGGGCGCGTTCAGCAGACCAAGCCGCTGAGCAGCAGTCGAACGTGATTGGCTCTTACTTTTAGAACCAACCAATCAACACAGTGTGTTGATAAGACGAACTCAACAGTTGTGTTTGCTGAACGCGGCCAATCAGGACAAGGAATCTATGCTTTGAAGCATTTCTAAACCAATAAAGAACTTGCTATAGTATATGTAGTGTGTATATCTGTGGCCAACTTTTTGCTTTGCTAAATATGATAAAACGGAAAGTAAATAATTTTTTTCGCCATTTATTGTGTGTGTCCGGCATGTATGTATGTACATACTTGAGTAAGCATCTAATTTCTAGGTATTTGTGCACCGTGGCCGTTCATCATTAGAGCCATTAGAGGTTATGTTAGGTCAAGGTAAGAAACATCGAGTGAATTAAGCTAATCCTGCTAATCCAACGACTTGAGCAGTTGGACTTTGGTACTTATATATAAGACTCAAACTTAAACTAATGATATCTTTATAATATTTGTAAATTTTTAAATTTTAGTACATGATTTATTTATAAATTATTAATAAACTATTAATTTCCTTTACTTTCTATTTCACGAAGAAATTTATCTGTTGATTTTTTAGAAGTTCATATGTCGATGAGCTTGATGCATAGTAACAGATTATACAATTCTCACAGCCTTAATTAAATTCTTTCTAGAAGTTCGAGCCGCGAAAGATTAAAATCGCAAATTAGCAAAATTATAGAATAAGTAAGGTAATCGATAGCACTTAGTTTATGAAAATCGCGATTCCAGGAATTTCTAAAGTTTTAAGAAATTAGAGAAATTATACTATCGTAAATTAGCGATATTATTTATAGGATGTAATCAGCAAGAAAAATTTAAAAATATTCTCAGTCTAAAGGAACACTGAATTAGAAAGGAATTACGATTTCAGGAAAGAATTTGTATTCGTAATAGAGGGAAAAATTGTTATTGAATCATCACACTTTGTCCTGATATTTTTAACGTTAATTACGTAAGATTAATTTATTGATTGCATAATAATATAATGAATTAGCATAGTGTAACAACAAGGTCAAGTTGTGTCGAGTTTTGATCTTCTGCACCCTGTAAATGCTCTGTGATTCCGATTAACTTTTTTTTAACAAAAAAAAATTGATTATTGACGAATATAAGTCATAGATTTAGTCGCTATTATTCGATACTATTCGCTTCGATACTATATGCGCGCAATATCGGAATACAAATAAATGTATAATATCATTTTAAGTGTAAGTCCGCACTAGTGATGACAGTTTGTTCATTGCAGCCGCAAATCGCACTATTGTAATAGAAGAATAGAATAGTGTGTAGCATAATTACGTAGTCGACTTACATTGACTGCATTAATTAGATCGATCGAGTTTGTCGGAAATTGAATTATGTAAAGTTTTCTTCTATCTCGATCAGCCCCCATTATCTCAGCGTAACTTATAAATATCTCTGTATATACTACAGTATATCGATCGTAATAGTCATAACAAACGTCCACGAAGGTAATTCGTGTTAATATAAAAAATTTAAGTGAAAATGAATACACGATGTACATAAAACGAGTACATGTTTTACATTCGCATTCTCCTAGTTCTATACGATCTAAGTGCTAATAGACTTCGACATTTGGCACGTTTCGTTCTTATAGAATTAGTTCACATCTTTATAAACAATTTACTGGGAATGGTTTTTGATTAGAAGATAATATCGATACCCAAATCGGTATATATATTGATTTTATGGCCGTCTTTAAGTTTAATCCGATCGTTCAGTCGAAAATACGAAATAGTAATCTTAAATATTAAATATATTAAATTATGTACAATGTGTGCATATCGGAAAAGTCCAATAGAGATAAATAATTCTTATATTCCTTATATACTATATAATGAGATGAAATTATCTACAAATGAAATCATTTGTTTTAATTAAACAGTTGTTATACTAAGGTGCCAATTCATGAGACGCTGAAAATGAGCGTCAACAAGGTGAATGTGGTGGTTTCGCTTTGACGCTAGCGTCAAAGAAATGAAGTTGAATTTGTTTAATATTCAGCGTCGTCGCTGAATCGTCAATCGTCCCAGTACAATCAAACATAGACTTCGAAATACGTAAAATATTAATTATTTTTAAGTAATATCTTCAAGTAATAATATTTTATGGATACATATATAAATAAAAGATATTATTTCTGAAGATTTTTACTTGCTAAAAATGAGCGTCGAGCGTTAACGTGAAAAGGCACCTCTACCCAAATTTATTTCGTCGCGCGCGAAGACTATAAAGTTAAATATGTAATTGTAATAATTAAAATTATTGGAATAATTAAGTTATATGCTAATCTAGTAGTATTTTTTCATATATAAATTAGACTTATTTCTTAAATAACATCTAAACATATGATCGAATTACAACTTAAAGACGACCCGATTATTTTACCGTTAAGTACAATTAACACTGCGTAATAATAATTTTACACAGATATCTAAAAGAAGTCTTTAGACTTTGTGCTAACGCTCGTAATTACGACGTCGATATACAAACATCTTTTCGTGCTTTCTAAGGGCCCCGTTTCGAGAAGTCAAGAAGTTCGCATCGCATTTCGAACGAATGAATTGGACAGTATTCTATTCTAGGCAGTCGTTTCCTTCCGCTTATTAATTATAGGCAGAACCACTGTTCCCGTTCGCAGCCTGAAACCGTCACAGATTTCATTTACACCTCCAAGAACAAAGAAAGAAGTACGGGGAGATCACTCGTTATCGGAGGCAGATGGAATGATGGATCATCGCGCGAATGAAAAAGTTTCTTTGTGCAATCATTCAAATTTACGCTATTTAACAGAGAGAGAGAGAGAGAGAGAGAGAGAGAGAGAGAGAGAGAGAACCAAACCTACCATCAAATATGTAACGATGTCTAAAACTTATACATTTATTAATTTTTATTTATCGTTTGATTTTATTGCCTTCGTACAAGTCAATTACATTATGCGATTTCTGCATGCTCCGAGGCTATTGTAAAATAAATCTAACAAATTTTGAAGAATCACCGTAATGCAAAACGTCGAGTCTCATATCGCGACGCGAAGTCGCTTTATCGAAAATGGGTAGATTTCGAGAAAACGTTCAATCGCGCGGACTCCATCTGCCTCGGAATATCACGCGAACCCTGCGCTCGCGTTAAGTTCATTCCCGACAGATATCAGGGCGCACCGGTGCTCGAATCGAAATACGAATTGGACGAGACACGCGGCATCGATCTCGATGCTACCTTTAGGTTTGCCTGACTGCCGTAGAAGGAGGTGAAGGCCGTGTCGGAACTGACGCTAAGTGGTAGACTTGTCGCGTCCATCGTTTCTCTCTCGCTGCCGAGGGTGGACGCCCTTATGTCGAGGGTGCCGCTCACGCCAGACATTCCGGAACTCGTGGCCATCTCCACCTCGCCGACATCGGGATGATATATGTGTCTTGAGATTGAAATAAACGTTACGTTAATGCGTGCTCGATAATTCATTTCGAAAGTCGACTCGCATAACGTTTAATAGGATTATTTTTACCTATAATCTGGGATTGGCGCGCGCGGATCCGGGGCCATGTGCTGCCTCCGTGAGTTCATCGACATCGGTGTTTTCTTTATTGCGTAAATGTATATACCGGTCATCGTGAGCGTGTACGAAACGAAGTACAATGCGTGAAACTGGAGGAAACGAAGAAAGAGAAATATCAGTATTAATTTTCGTACAAAAAAGCTAACTTTTATTTCGAAAAATAAAATTTTATTTTATGATCAATTTTCTGAGCGTATTTACTGGATAATATCTTATATCTATATATATAAAATAGAATGTTTGTATGTATGTATGTATGTATAATATATGTATGTATGTTCTTTATACACTCTTAAACTATTCGACCGAATTTTTACCAAAAGTATATAAAATAGGGGTAGAATTTTTCGGGGAGTATTATAGAGTGTATAGTTTTTCGTTACCGATCTTTTTGAGAACCGGTATCCGAAATTTTTCTAATTTTTTGGGAAATAATTGACCGAGTCTTAAAAAATTGTATACAAAATAGGGGTAGAATTTCCCAGGAAATGCCATAAATTGTATAGTTTTTTGTTACCGATTTTTTGGAGAATTGATATCCGAACTGATAAAAGAATTTTTTCAATTAAGGATATTAAAACACAAATGAAGTCGTTTGAAGAAAAACGACTCCCGGGCGAAGCCCGGGTAACCAGCTAGTTTAATATATTTTAATGTAAAGCGATATCACGATGATCGACGAATGAGAACACGATCGATCGTGTAGCGAATGACGACACTCGTGATCAATGGCCTACCTTATAGTGGTGATTAAGCATTCCGCTCAATGTATTGAAGGAGTCCGAGGTAAGCAGCGCGAGCTGCAAGGCGGTAGCGCCCGATTCAAACAATACTACCGGTAGAAGAGAGAAGAACATGAATTGCATGACGCAGTAGAGCATCAGGATCGTTATTACTGGTACGTTGTCCCAGTGACACGCTTCTATTTGAAACCTCTGAAACACGGCGCTGTAACGATCGTTACAAAAATGTCACTCGCATTCACGGCATTTTCCTATGAAAGCTACTCAGTATTCGTACTTACGTTTGCATGCAGCTCAATATTGTACCGAAGAAACCGATCATCCCGAGGTATTCGACAATATCGACCGTTTTAACGGCAAATTCCTGCAGAACCGTCGTTACCGAGAACAAGACCGCACCGCCGAGACAAAGCATATCGCCAACAAGTTTGTTCTTTTCTGAAACGTTCAACGTCAATTTTTTTCCTCGCTCTCTTCTATCGCGCGCGATAGCCGTCTATCTGCATACTACTCGTCGATAATTACCAGTAGCCGTGGGATTACCAGTAGGATTATTGTCGTCTATACCAGCCCAGACCAGACATCCGACGCCCATTAAGCAGACGGACACGCCGACGATGTGCACCATTCTGTATCTGACGCCCAGTACCAGAAACGAGAGTACCAGGGCGACCGGTATCGCCGCTAAATCAAGAAGCTAAAATATTTTATAGCTTTTTATGGTACTTATTATAGTTTATACATCGGTAATGTTTATATGTACAATATGGTAATGGAGAAGCGAGTTAGGAGCCGCGGCGAGCATGTATGGAGCGCGCAATAATGGATAATTTAATTCATAACGCGCCTGCAATGTGTTTGATTAAGAATGGGGGTAGCTCGGACAACGACGGAGTGAGCATTGTTGGGTCGAAGACCCAACATCCTCTTCAGCCTCTTCTCCGCTATGGCCGTGCAGTTACAATGCCTGTTCCGTACGCCATTCACACAGTTGATACGAGTACTACCACGCTCGCCAGATAATACAAATTCGAACTATGCGAGAGGAAAGTTACGTGCTCGAGTAGGAAATCGTACATTAAGCAACGCCAGCAGAACTCGTCGCTTCAATGGGATTTAAACGCGGATAGATCGACGTAATCGCGAGACATGCAACTTTCTTACGAATCATTTAATGAAGCTTAAAAATCGTAGACGCAATCAACATGAAAAGTTTACGAAGGGAATAAGTATCGAAAATGCGATGTAAAATCAGAATTACTCAAGTCAATGATAATATATTATAAGATTTCTAGAAATCAGAGATTTATATATATTCTAATCGTTAAGTACTTTACTGCGTTCTCAAAAAGATCTCTGCGTATTTACATACCTGTATACTAGCAAGGCTGGTATATTGGTGCGACGATGTAATAAGCGTGCACGCCTCAACGTCGATCAGTGCTAACAACAGATACCTCCAGCCACGGGCTCGTATGACGGAAATTAGGCCATTCCCCGCACCCCTGCAGGACATCCACGTCGTGTAGACTAAACACATCATTACGTAGTGCGGAACGTTCTGCCCTGTCTCGCAAAAAAACGATAATAATTAATTAGCCGCGCAAAGTTTCGAACTTGAAATTGCTTCCAGTCGGCTTAACTTTTTCAAATTAATAAGTTACCTGTTGGAAGCGAGACCTTGTAGGAACCGGTGTTTATGTAATGATTTAGGAACGTCACGAAGGACAGCATCACCGAAAGAAACTGGCCCATTATTATCGTCCTCCATACCGCCCTATTTTGCAATACATCGACAAGTTGATTTTTATTTCAAGAATGTACAAATGTGTATTAAAATATATCTAAGTTACATAATACTATGTAATATATAATATATTTATGACTAAATTTAAATGTCTTAAAAATGTTAATAATTTCGTGCCATATTAATTAATTTTAATGTCAATTAGTGTAAAATTAATGTCATAAAAATTAAATATTTTATTGAAAGTCATTATAAAAATAAGGAATCGATTTTCTCTCTAAATAGAAATTTATTTTGTTAGCTTAAACTTAGAGAGATTAAATGTCTCATATTTGGTACCGGAATACTTTAAGTATATAGTAACGCCCGGCGCTGGTCAGACTAAGATCGTGCTTTCGAGCCGACCACACGACATAAGATACAAAAAATGCCACATAAAAATAAACAGCTTAATTTAATATGATAGAAAATACTTTATAACAATAAATTTTTATATTAATCAAAAAGATTATTTTGAAATTATATTAAAAATATATAATATTACTAAAATGCACAAATCTCTCAACATATATAGAGTCCTACGAATTTTGCACACACAAAAACCGTGCAATAGCTCCACCAACACTAGCGTATTCTGAATTTCCGGAACCGCGGGTATTATCACATATATTGATTCGTTATCAATTCTTATTGTTTTAATTTTTAAAACACCAACCGCGATTAAATCATATTGCACCGTGATCACACATCGTTGTGCCAATCGCGAGAAACAATACGACGAAAGCGTATAGCTAAACACCCGCCACTTTCATCCCTGGGTCGTTCGCCCCCTTTCGCCCGTCCCCAGTCGTCCCCACCGATTCTGCAGGGCGGCACAGGGCGGAAAGCACACCGCACACGCAACGGCTCCTGCGAACGCCTAGGGCGGCCCACCTCCACGTTTACTCACGTACCATTGGCCCAGCTCGGATATGTAATTTTCGATTTTGTCGCAGATCCCATTCCTGGCCCGCATCTCCCGCCAGGAAATATCTGGATTTTGAGCGCCGTGACGATCGCCCGCCGATCCTCCCATGCCATGGTGCATTTTCACCCTGAAGGCTCCTCCGCCGGCGACTCCGCGGCGAGCGAATATACTGATCCGAGGCGCTTGCGCGACCTCCTTCCGCTCTCTCGGTGCGGAGGGACACGCCGTTACTCTTGTTGCTCCTCTTTCGTTTTCCCTGGGATGCGTGCTACGATAGGAAATACCAAATTTTACTATGCTGCGATAGACATCAATACGCAGCGTCCGGCAGCGTCATAACGCTGCGTAAAATTCCAGTCAGCGTTTCATCGATCTTGAAATCGATCGAAAAAAACTAAATCTCTTCTAATAAAACTGTATTATTTCGATTTAAAAAAAATTAGGTAGTTTTCCTTTAATGGAAATTTAAGATCGATATATTCTCTAAAATTCTTTCGTTATTAAAATGTTATTTCATCAAATTAAAGAGTAAATTAAATAAGAACGTAGTCTCTTTTGAAGTCTCTCTTGAAGTCTCTCTTTGAAGTTAAAGCTATTTAAGTTCTAAATTAAATTTGCAAAAATTACACAACTGAGGATAAGATTGAGGAGAGATCCTGGGATAACGAATAAGTAAAGAAGTATGTCTTTATTTATATTACCAGGTAATCCTGCTATAGAATTTTATTTACAATATATTGACATTCTCGAATATACTGTGAGCTCAGTCGTATACAATGTCCAAAAGGTTCCCACTTTCCGTCAGAAAGAGATTTGCACATTATATAAACTTTAAACATCTTTAACTTTAACTTACACTATGTCATATATCTCAAATTTGTTATCACTGCGATACAGCATAAAATTACGCACAAGTATAGATTATCCGACGTATGAAAAGAAGGCAATATTGTAACGCTATTATGAATATGTAAATTTGTGCAGTCGGTTCCGTCGTTTCCATCGATTCGACGACAATGTACCGCCGGTCGATGGAAATGGAGCTTTTGTCAATGTTTGCCTATCTAATAGAGGAAATTGCCGGTTTTGGTGATACAGTTCATTTTTACAAAGTTGGAAAAATATTTTCAATTTCATACATTCCCCCGATATATCAGACGCGAATTTCTCCGTGTTCGAACATCTTCATTACACGCAGTACGCAATTAATGCACTACATTCACACGTCAGAAAGTCTATTAGTTAGTCGGAATAACAATAAATTGTCAAGTGGAAAACGGAGACATAAGTTTACGAGATAAAAATCCTCTCTTCGCCGTTATGAGATAAGACGTAGAATTTGCGAAATTTGATTTTAAACGAGCGCTCGCCTCGCGCTCTCGTTCGATGAGCAAAAATTTACGCTAAGAACTATCGAAGACGTTGCTCGATGAGGAAAGTCCTCTTCGTTAAGTAAGATCGATCGTTTCTATTGGTCACTTTAATCAGAATCAGAACTAATTTTACTTCTTCTTGGCCTCTTCTTCTACCGTCTCGTTTTGCTTGCGGAAGCAATCGCCTACCGGAAAGAAGTCCCAACACCTTTGTTGATACATATTCCAGACGTACGTTTCTTGACCAGTGTATTCGGTGTCTGGTTTGTTAATCAAGTGCATAAGGAAGAACCTGTCGATCGAAAATCACGTATGAATTGATAATATAATAAAGTATGTTCTTTTATTAAAAATATTTCAGATATTTTTAGATTATTCAGATAATCAAAAGCGTAAAATATTTGTCGATATTTACATGTAATTTGCTAGATTATGCTCCTGTTGCACGTGAGTGTCGAACCCGTGTGGCACCGCGTCAAAATATTCTTTTCCTAAGCCGCATATAAAGCAATTGCTCTCCATATTTGTCTTCACGCTTTCAAGTTGATCTCGAAGTTCGCCAAACGCGTCGATGATCAGACCTGAGGACCAATTGCGACGTAATATCGTATTCTGTTTCTGCTACAAATCGTAGAATCAATCGAGAATACTCACCTTGAATGATAGCCAACAGAATGACAATTACGAAGAAGAAGAATGTGATGTCGAACATTATACGATAAACCTCATAATCGTCGCCGTCGGGTTCACCGATCTCGTCGCCTATCCCGCCGCCGGCTCTTACGCCTTTGTACAAGTGAAAAACGAAGCACTGCCAAAAGAAATAAAAATATACGTCAACATAATGAAATCTAAAGTTATGAAATGCACTATGACCAAGATAACTAAAGATTCTTCACGTATGGCTGAGTTTCTAAATTCATTGCCAGCGCTGAACATCTATAGTATATGTTACGTGTGCTATAGACTTCCAGTGCCGGAAATATATAGTACACGTAACGTATGCTATAGATTTTCAGCGCTGGCAATTAATTTAGAAACTCAGCCTATTTCTGTGTAGCATACCGTTAGCATATGGTGACATTTTTTATCCGACTCGTCGCCGTCGTCTTCCTCCTGTATGTAGAACTTTCTGAAGAAATTAAAAGCTATCACGGTATAGATATATACTATGATTGTCAGTAGCATCACTGTCAAGACCAGCTGCTTGCCGTTATGTGTCACCGATTGCAAAATTGTTCGTAAAGTTTTGACCGCGACCGCGACGTCCAGCAGGTGAGCGGCGAAGAAGAAATTGTTGTAGTTGCCGAGAATCGAAAATGTGAAGTACCACAAGCTATATAAAAATGCCTGGAAAATAAAACGGCGCGATTATACATAGATATTTAATTTATATAATTTACTTAGAAATGAATATTAGTCTCGCCGAAAATTTATTATTTATTATGAAAGAACTTACGTTATCGGTAATGGTGACTCCGGCCTTCCATACCTGATATCTCCAATCGATGTGTAGAATGCTACAAAAAATTATTTTTTGCATTACAAAATCTCAGTTGTGATAGTAGAAAAAAGTTGAGATACTATCGCGATATCTACTTACAAATGTATTAAGCCAGAACCTTCCTCCTCCTGCTGGCTGAAAGAAGTCTTTTCCATTCCGAGTAAATTGCTGATGTAATCGAAATCGTACGTCTCGCTGTATTTTTGCCGAACCTTTTTCTTGACGAATTTGTCCCAGTAGTTTACAGGAAAAGTCTTAGCCGATATCACCATTTTATCCCAGTGCGCTTTAATGTCATCCTCTTCCGGCATTTCGGCTATATACAATCCATCGAATTCTACTCGTCGTGCAATTTCCTTCTCTCGTTTGAAGATGGCCAATGGTACCTGAAACAAACACAAATATTTACATGATTTAAAAATCACGATAATTATATATCCGTCAAATTTATCAAAATATTTCGTATATAGAAAAACATTACCGAAAAAATGTTCGATTTTAATAACTGAGATTAAATAATTGTACAGTTATTGTTATCATTCGCGTCTCAAGTACCTTCAAGTGATAATACGCGACCAGCATAGCGAGTGAAACGATGGAATGAAGAGCAGCCAGTAGCCTCATAACGTGAGCCATATAATAATAATCCTCAGACACTTCCACGAATTCCTGAGCCTCCTCATCTTCCTCTTCCGAACCATTTTCACCGCTACCGCTGCCTAGTTCCATGCCACTACCTGCCAAACCCGATGTCCCTTCGCCTGATATTTCCGTTAACAAATCCGCCATTCGTCCACTACCTTCGTCGTCCGAATCGTCAGCCAAAGAGGAAACCTGGATTTAACGTTAACATGCGTAAGAAAAAACGACACATATACGAAACGTGAATTTATAGAATCTTGGATTTTTATACTTTTTATGTTTGTTATGTATGCTGTGTGTTCATATGAAAAATTATTGTAAAGTTCTCATGTACCTTATAAAATAGCAACATAATGTTGATACAAAAGGCGAGAACTAGCGCGACGACTTTCAGATTATAAAAATTCCTGGCCAAGAAGGATACCACACGATGACTGTATTCTGACAGATCAATGCTCGATCCTGAGGAAGGTTCGGCGATGGTTTCTTGCTTTGCTTCGGCTTCAACTGCTGCCATAGCTGCTTGTTGAGCCGCCGCAGCTTCTGCTGCAGCAGCAGCTTGCGCTCTGGCTTGTTCTCCGCTAAACAAATGTAATTTAATTAACGAAAAAGAAAATAATTTTAGCTAGTTTAATCCTATTATTTAAATTCAATTAGCAACATGCTATGAAATCAAAATATTCAGTATTTTATTTATACTAAAAAAAAAGATAAAATAATACTCGATTTTAGTATCGTTATAAACAAGACACTGTGCCTTTTTCAATGCAATCTGTTTAAAGAAGTCAAGACCTTTTCAAGCCGAGATTTAAAGATATATAGTGACATCTGCTTTTTTAAGGATGGTAATCGTCTCAGGTCGAAATCAATTTTATTTTTGTCACTAATCCATGCACGATATCTCTCGATCTACTTATCCAAGATAAATGACTCTGCGCTCATTAGAAGCGTTAAAGTTTTAGCTTTCGAACGAGGTCAAACGCATCTCGCTGCGATTCTTCTGTGCAAAGATATTGACGATTATATCGATTATTCGTGATCCGAATATCTGATGTCTAAGGACGATGCGAGCCTCGCTCACCCCCTTCCTCGTCGCAAAACACGATTACTGACAAACGATTACTATTGATCAGCTGATTGTAGTAGCATAGTAACGCAATACCGTAAGCGTCACACGTACAATATGCACACATACACGCGTCGCGTTTATTCATAATTGGTGCACGCCCGCCAGATTTTCGAAACACTGTAGCTCCATTTATATAAAGTTTACTGTACTCTACTAACCCGAGCAGATCAGCTAAAGTGACAGGCGGCTCGCCCTCTCCTTCAGCTCTCGCTCCCTCTTCGCCAGCACCTTCGTCGGGTGTACTCTCGCCCGTCTCTTCGATACTAGATTGCGGCGTAGAGGTGGTCGATTCGTGTGGTGCCAACTTTATTTGCCCTCCTTCTTCTTTCGTTATATCCATTCCGAAGGCTTGCACCTATATATGCGAATTTTTAAAATAATATTTCTCTCAGTGCCATGCTAACATAATTTATTGAGAAAATTTTACTTGTAAATTCGACTCATCCGGCGTCGGTGGCAAAGCGGGTAAATGTCTCGACGGTTTCTCTTCCTCCTCCTTGACTACAACGGGTTGCTCCACTTGTGGTCCTCTCATTAACGTTAACAAAAGCTTCATGAAGTATTTGATCACGCAGCCGACACCAAAGCCGGAATAATAGAAGGCGTAGAAAATCATCTTGAAGAAACCGATGAAGAGCTCAGGTATCGTCATCTGTTGCATCTCGGCGATCTTGTTCTTGATATTGGTCGGCGAGAACATGTAGAAGAAGAAGTAAACGCCGTCCTTGATGGCTTGTATACCTCGCCTGATTGGGTCTTTATTTCTCTCTTCATCGTCCTCGGTCATATACGTATACGAGGATTCCCTCGCCTTGCCGATTCCGCTGCTTTCCTCGACGGTCATCAACGCGCTCGCGTGTTGCATTTCAAAAATAGCGTCCTCGCAAAAGTTGATGAAGGTTTCGAGTTTCTCTTTCTCACCAGCCTCGACCACCGTGTTGTAGAAGTAGGTCCTCTTCGACTCCTTGATCTGCGGCTTCTCCCATTGTTCGATATTCGACTCTTTGATCTCAAAGTAAACGCGCTCGATCTTCTTATTGCCACCAAGGATCTCGATTCTGCCTAAGAACGGCTCGAAGTAATTTAGAACTGAGCCAGCCGTTTCGAGGAACTTGGCTAATCTCGGTTCGTTAGGCATGTGCTCGGACAGATTGGTGAGCAACACGGCCAGATTGAAACCAATTTCCTTCGCCGGCTCGTGGAAGCGATCCATGAAAGCGATGTAATTGATCTTGCCGTCGTGATTCGTCTCGCAGCAGGCCAGGAGGAATTCGATTTCCTCGCTGAAAACATTTGGAGAATTAAATTCTGACATTTTAAATTTTAGTTTTTAGATTCAAAGTATTTAATTCGGAGAATAGTTAACGGCAGTGTAAGCGTACTTGGTGTAATTTTTCTGTTGCTCCATCTTCTCCTTGAAATCTTTAGGATACACCCAACCATCACTGTTAAGATCGACTTCCAGGAAACTCGGCGATGCCACAAGATCCTTCAGTTTTAAGAACATATCAAAGTACTTCAAAATCAGTTCCACGTTACTAGCCGATTCGACTAAAGTGTCCACCATCTGCTTTCCAATCGTTCCGTTCACGACGTTACCTTTAAATCGCATGAATATTAATTATAATCTTCTTCGTTTTCTTGAATAAAATAGAAATTAGACACGTACCTTCGAGCATAGAAAGCATCATGGTAATCATGTCCTTTTGCAAGTTAAGCAATTCTTTCAGAAGATCCACCTGACTTGAGTGCTTCGATAGTTTGTCTTGCATATGCGAGAATAAGAAAAGAAAACCTCCTACTGCGTCCCACAATCTAGAATGCGCTAAAGCTTGTTGATTCTGTGCGCATGGGCCTTGAATGACCTCGGTAAGGGTGTTGAAAACTTGACTGGCAACGCCAATAGCCTTGAAGAAGTTCGCTTTACCGGCGGGGTCGATGAGTTCCTTACTCGAGTAATGCCAATAGAAATCCATGATCGACTCTTGCAATCGCAATAGGTAATCAACGGTGCAAATGACCACGTTCACCGTCGTCGTATTACCAGCCTGTGTCCTCAGGTAATTTTGCCAATCTGTTGAGCATAGGATAAACGTTATTCAATCGAGTCAAACTCATCTTTCAATAGCGATAACATAATACTTGCCGAGATTGTGACCCTCGCAGGTGAGTTGGATAAAGCGGAATAGAACGCAGGTGAATTCAGCATCGTGCATATTCTTCTCGCCAGCTGCACCCTCGGAACCGACACCGAGACCCTCAGCTTTCGTGTTTCTCTCGAAAGCGTCCAGATCCAGTACGCTGCAAGAGTTCATTAGACCCGCGATGGATGTGAAGAAACCGACGTCTTTCTTCTCCTTCAGATGGTTCAGCATCCCTCGCTGAATTTCGATATTGCCGCCACGCAGGATCGAAATTCCGAGCTCTAAAGTCTTCATCACCATCTCGCTGGGAATGCCCTTGCACGCCGATATGTGCAGGAGGACCATTTCGGCGACGCCGCGATTTGCTAGACGAGCTTGATGGAATAAGAGCTTCTGCTTCTCCATTTCTTGTTCCTATATTGTAGAACGTAATATAAAAATATTATGTTAAAATAAGATTACATGCACGGAAATAAAGATATATGAATATATGCATACATAATATGTTTTAAACCAAGCATACAGTAATTTATATAATATTACAACTTATCTAATTAAAAATTTTATATCATTGTCATTTCCGAGATTTAAAATACGATTTATTGATTATTAAAATACGATTATTTAAAAACTTTTTCATAATGCAATATCTTACCATTAGTTTATGCATTGGCCTCTTGAGAATTACGTTAAAAGAAAAAAATTCACAGATTAATTATATATTGTTAGTAATGGATCGGCGGGAAGAAAACAATTTCGATAGCCTACGATGCTTTGCTTGCTCATGAATGATATTATACACGTCGCTTTGATTTCGATGAATAACACAATGTAGTACAATTCAACGAATTCGGGGTGTCACAACATGGAAAACATATATTATACATATATGGTTGACATCTTGGACTGCGAGCATACATTAAGCGGATGGATTCTCGCACTAGCTACTGATTCTTACCGTAAATTTATGTCTCCGCTTTTAGTAAGTTAGAAAAAGATAGGGAATTCGTTAATGCGGTAGACAGATTTTGTGGGAATTTAGTGGATTCGATTTTCTCTCGCTCGAATTATCATCTATATAGAGACAAGAGCTTATCAATCGGATCTTACATGGATCGAAGCTTGTCCTTCTTCCTCGCCTCCGCCGCCTTCTTCTTCACCTTCCTCCTCTTCCTCTCCACAAGATTTGGAAATAATTTGGGCGTAACTCATGTAAAGCGGATCTTCTTGAAGAGCGCCTGATCGTTCAGTCATAGCACCGCGACAGAAAGTCGTTACCAATTGTGTCAACGGATCGGGCTTGCTTTCATCCTCAGCTTTATCCATTTTCTTCAATTCAGCATCCTCGAATGATTGCTGAAAGAAAGAAGTATAATATTATTTCAATATTATTTTAATTTTACGTGAAATTACATTTCAAATAGATGAAGTAATATAGGCTGTAATTACCGTAAGATCCTCGATCATCACTTCTTGACCAACATTTTCATCTTGTAGCCACAGCTCGTAATACGTTCGCGCAAAAATGTTTATCGCTCGATGCCTAAAAGGATAAATTTATATAACTATGTTAATATTACTTCGAAGAAGATTGTATTGAATATAGTAGAGATTAATTTGTGTTAATCGTACCTCCTCAATTTATACAGAGGCTCACTACGCAAACATGCAATCGCCGCTCTTTTTCTAGCAGCGCACAACACACGTTTCCATCCATCTCGCGATGGCGGTGGCTTTGTCGCCTGTTAGCGTGTACGTAAACAGCAAGCACACTCATTAAATCATTAACAATAATTTTCATTAGTTATTGCAGATAATATTTTATAGTATTAAACACTCAAAATTAATCGATTCTTATCGCCTAATTATTTCTCTCTTTGACTAACCCCGTGTTCCTTTTTTACTGGCAGTGCTGAAAATATATAGTTTGCGTCACGTAACTATAGATTTTCAGTATTGGCAGTGAATAAAGGAACACAGCCTAACAGACAGTAAAATAGCTAATAAATTCCACGCAAATCAATAACACAAAACACATCGGCGACACTCAATGTAACTTAAAATAAGAATGATTCTAGTGATATTAAAAGAATTAATAATGTGTGAGATCACAATTGAAAGATTAACGATCCAATGAAGCGAAAACGTAACTAAATAGCAAGAAGGATACCTGGGCAAAGAATGTAAAGAGAGTTGGCGGAAACAAGCGATTACCGCTCGTTTACGCTGGATCGACACCACTGATCGATACTGACTCTTGCTCTGCTGTTGTGGATGATCTATCTACTCGAGAACAAAAGTACGGAGATGAATACGATGAACACTTCGACGCGACTTAAAGAAACAGAAAAATGATGATGACATGATGAAATGATTTTCAGACGACAATGGCGTTTTCAATTCCAATGATCCCGAAAACATTAATATCAATAGCAAATTAAAAAGAAGGTCACAGAGTTCCGAACATTTTTTTTTCTTCAATAATTTAAATATCCACAAAATTTTGAAAATTACAGCTGTATTAACAACGTTATACGGTTTTATGACTAACCATGTGTAAACCGTATAAAACTTTAGCCATATCGGTGATCCTAGCGATAACATCTTCCAGCTGTTGAGCCTTTACAGGCTCCATCGCGTCCTTCTTCTGACCTAATTGAGAATACAGGTAATGCTGCCAGGACATTTCGTCGGCGGGATCGATCTTGTCCGGCAACGTCAGTTGAGTCTTGGCAAATTCCGAGATATCAGATTCCGGCATCTTTTTTAGGAATCTGTCTTTGCAATGCTGCACCAATTCCTGTTCGCGACCAGCGAAGAGATTCAAGCCGACGGGTAGCAATCGCTTTAGGCAAGCGACCATCAAGGATGCTTGCACTTCTTTGTCTTTGTCTCTCTTCTTGTCGCGATGTTTTTTCTTTTTCTGTATATCGAAAAGATACTTAAGCGCTTGATCTTTTGACTCTTAAGACAAATTATGCATATTAATTGACAAGATTAAATAAAAATAAATGAATAGCTTGTACGAACCTTGCCTCCACCGGAAGGCGCGGTGCCATCAGACACTGCAGTAGGTCTTCTCGTTGCGGTGGGCATGATGAGCACCATGTTATCAATCTCATTCGCGGATATAAAATTCTGCTCTTCACGCAAGAAGTACTGCGACTTGGACCAGATATTAAATATAGCCGCCACGTGATTGTACAGATCCTCGGCTTCGGGAATATTGTTCCTCAGCCAATGATTCCTTTGAAGATCGACGTACTTTATCAACAGGGGATAGAATGAGTAGATATCGCGCACGAGTAGCTGCCAATCTTCCTGGATCTGCGCCTCGACCTGCGAGGTATCTTCAGTGGAAGACTTAATGAAGCCCCGAAGAGATTCCTCTTTGTGGAACATGGTGTCCGTTCGTTTTCTGACGCGTTCGGCGAGGGGCAAAAACGGATCCTTCAACAATTCCTCGGACGAGTTGATAATGATTTGCTGTGTGTAGGCGGCGATGCGCGTCATCCACGGTGCATTCTCGTTGCCGATGTTCTTCTTAATTAATTTCAGCACGTTCTTCAGCAACAGATTCATGTGATCGCTGGTTACCATGCTGACGTAGGTGCCCTCGGTCGGATTCACGTTGTCAGGCCCTTGTGACCACCAGAAAGGCAAATAAGAGCAGAGCAGAGGTAGAATTACGTCAACGACGTGAGGAGCGTCGTTGTAAGTCTTCTCGGATTCGACGAACTGATCGACCTCACTGAGAATGGTCTCCAAAGTTGGCATACTTGATTCCATCTTTGTCATGATGTCCTGAGCTTCCAGAGAATGATCCGCGATTCGATTTAGGAGGGAAAACTGATTGTGCTTGTTTAAATGAGGCTCTAAGAAGGCTACCGGGAAGCAGCTCGAAAAGGCACCCAGGCAGGAGCCTAGATTAGGTTTATTTCGCTCGATCTCAGTCTTCAGGTATTTTCTGTCGTGTGTCAAACTGGCGTCTACCCCGAGAGTGTACAGAGACGCCAACATTTTGTACGAGGCTACTTGAATTTCGTCAACTGTGTAAAACAAAGACGAAAATTTTATTAAATCAACGCACAGATGAATCTAATTAAAATAATTAAATATTAATCCCGATTAAATTAAAATAATTAGTTATTTTAATCTTGTCACAATTTTAATACTCTAAATAGTCTAAATACTTACGTAACAAGTCGCTGCCATATTCGCACGCGGCAAGATGGTCGAACATCGCAGTGAGCACCGGTAGAACTACACTATTAATGTACGATAATGACGTGGAGGTTTTCAAATGAGTGCCTCTGAGATGACTGTATTTCCCTTCCTGAAGGTTCAGGATCGTGTGACCTAGATCATCGGCGGTGTTGTTAAAGAAAGTCAACATGGACGTTCGGATGAACTCAGGACAGTTCTTCACGAGACTCTTGGCGTCTATGCCCTTCACTAGCACTTGCAGGCAACGAACTGTTATCCTCACATCCGCGCCAAAGGCGGCGAGTCTCGATCTCAGCAAACTCGCTAACTTGCAGAAGAGAGCGGCCACCATCTCTTTCTCCTTCAACGATGCTGCACCGACATTGTTCGTAGCGGTAGCCACGGCGATGAAATAGTTTCTATGCGTGCTAAAGTACTTCTCCATTAGCGGGAGAACTACTTTGCTGAAGAACTTGATGTCTCTTGTCGAGGTCTTGAAACTGTTTCTTCGGCTGAACGTGTCGGAGGGTTTCAAAAGCTTCATGTTGATCGTTGCCTTGTCCAGGTAAGCTATCAGCTTCTCTAATAATGAGTAAGCGAATCTTAATTCTACCGCAGCAACTGCGCCAGCCACTTCGGTCTCCGTACCGCCGCGATTTGGTTTGTGAAACTTGTAACCTTGATACTGCAAGTACTTGAGAAATTCTTGCGATCGTTCACGATCCTTTCGTTTCTCCTTATCGGTCAACAGATCGTAGGGTACCAGTTGAGGATGAATGCCACCTCCTATAGCCATTAAATATGTTACGAAAAAATTATTCAATATATATAAATTAAGTATTAATGCGGAGAGAGAAGAACAAGAGACGAAACATTGAGATTATTAGATAACAATTTATACTAACCGCAAGTAATAAGTTCTTCCTTCTTCTTCTTTGCCCAAATGTCGTGTGCATTGTCTGCCAAACGTTCGGCCATGTTCTGCATTTCTCTGCTTAGCGTCAGATTAGTCATGTCCACCGGATGAGGATTGTAATTAAACGGATTTGCCGAGTCGGTCTAACATGTTTAAAAATATGTAAATTAATGTCTGTTTTTAACGAATATGTATCGTGAATTTCGCGAATAATTTCTTACTTGACTCTTGGAAGACCTTCTCATGGAACTGCGATTGGTCGACGGCACATCGACCTCCGCGTGTTCCACACTCCAGCCAATCGCAAGGAGAGCTTTCAAGCTCTCTCTGACGGGTTCCTTGTATCGCTCTCGTTCGTAATCACTCAACATGTTATACGGCTTTAATCTGGGATGGGTTTTATTCATATCCGACCATTGCTCGCCGTAAGTCCAACCGTTCTCTAATTTACGGCTACCCCAGGCGTCGTGATAATGCTCGGAGAATTTTTGTACAATTTGATTAAGATCGTTATTGAGCACCACGCTAAAACAAATTTATAACGAAATATTAAAATCAAAGTCACAGAGAGATTTTTCGTATCTTACAATTACTATTAAACTTTTGTTTTTTGTAACTGACATAATTATTGAAATTTCTTATAATAAGATCTAATAATTAACCTGGAGGTGTTGATTGGCTGCGGATTGTAAGGACCGTCGGGTGATTGAGTCGAGGCTGACTTGCTGCCGTACCACTCGTCGTCGTAATTTTTCGAAAGAGAATAATCTGGCGGCAGGGCGCAACCGATGGCCGTCAGGCAAGGCAGCGCTTTTCCGAATAATTCCGGATCGTAATCCATCTTAGACAGGGAGTCGAATATATTGCTGAAGAGAACCATCGTGAGACGTTTCTCTTCGTCGCTTGACGCGCCGTAAGTGCCTTGACCGCTGGAGCCGGTGGAACCGTAATATTTCGCGCAACGATCGTAATGCAACGTTAACAACTAATAACACAAAACATCAATTATGCGGTAATAAAATTGAAAATAGGTTTTGCTTATTAACAAACTACGATTATTAATTTTATTTAATATCTATATTAAATAAAAAGATAAGTTAAAAATAACAATCGACGCACTCTGAGAGCCACAGTAGTATACTCCGACAATTTGGACACATCGACGGTCAGCTTTCGTAACAACTTCAGCAACATGCTCGGCTGCATTTGACTGTAAAGAGAAATTCGAGTTAATCTCTAGAATAAAATTCGCGAATGTACGAGGACCGTATCAAGTAACGTGGAAAGTGATTGTTTTTAATCTCAGTCATTTAAAATATTTAAATGATAATATTGAAACTTATGAGACGTTCAACGAATAAACATTTTTTTCTTAAAGAATGGCAAAAGGTTTTGGTTAATCGATTTAATATTCGGCAAATTCTTCGCTTACCTAGTCAATGCGACGAGGAAATCCGAGACAGCTTCGCGTTGACCCTTCGTCAGCATCCGGTTCTTGCTCAATCTATAGACCGTGTGCAACGTGGCGTCGAGTAAGCTCGCGTAATTGTCCGCCTCGTTGTAAAATTTGGAATGCTTGATCAGCAATGGCAGAATGCTGTTTCCTATATAACGATTCATGGCGAGCGCCATGTCGGATTCGTAGCCGTCGTTCTACGAGAAATTAAATTAGACAACAGTATGAATTCTCAACTGTCCCAATTCGTGATTTTTTTTTAATTGTCGCCTTTGTTAAATTAATAAAACAACAGATTTGCGAATAATAAAATTTAAATAATATTACGCGAAGTATATAGAGCATAACGTGATCCGTACTCTGTCGAGCATGGTGGCGGCGCGAAGATCTGGCAGAAAGGCTTCCTCCAATATTTTGTAGAACAATTCTTGCGTTTCGATGCCGTAAACGCGCTCGAGAAACAGCACGACGCTTTGCTTGTGCCCTGGTATCAAACCAGACGGGGTGTCGCTTTTCGGTCGTTCCTCGCCGGCCGCAGGATTGAGCAGCGTGAACCGCAAGGACAGCACACCTTGTAGATCGTCCAAGGGTACTAACGATCTCAAGATTGCCCGGGCTCGGAGAGACTCGTTTTTTCCTGAAATAATTGTGCGACTTCAGGCAAACGAGCATTGTTTCTGACACAAATTCTATCAAAACAAAATTTTATTTCGTATATTACCGACAGATTTTGTAGATGCCTCTGTTGCTCATTAAGAAAGAAATAAACGATTTGTTATTAGATAATTCGTTGTCGTTCGAATATAGTCAAGTTTTCGAGTGATTTTATGTCGCGGGAAATATACAGACAATGCAATGATGGTGCGAGGTATGAAATGATTTAAGAATTTAATTATTTTTTTTTGGAATCTTAGATTTCTTATATTTCTATAAAAAATTCTATAGTGTTTTCTTACATTTTATATTGATTTTTATATCAATTTTCTTAAGTAACTGGTATGAGAATTATATACGAGAGTGATCAGTTTTAAACATTATAAGTGCAACAATTTTATTGTGAGTTTTGTATTAATAATGATGATGAATATTAAATTCTTCCATTTTCTTACCTTGCTCTATGACTGACGAATCTGGAGCACAGCGGCCTAACAGGTCAACGAGGGTGCAATAGAAGTTTAATATCGCCGCACCCGTGTCAATGTAATCTTCGTCGTCGTCCGATTCCGGGAGTGGGTGCTCGAATTGCATCACCATAGCCGTGCCCTCGGCCTCGTCGTGCACCTGTGCGAGGTACTAAGTTGACACCGTATTAATGGAAGGTCGGGTACATGCTTGCGGAGAATTCACTTTAAGATTGTCGCATAGTCATATTTTATGCCATATTGAGTCATATTTAGCGAACTTGATTTGTTTTCGAAACTTTTATCGCGTGGATTACGAGAAATTAAGTTCAGATTAATTCTAAGGAGATGTTGGTAACATATCAAGGTACAAGAAATATGAATCAAATCACACGAAATCTAAGAATTAAAAAAAAAAGGGAAGACTGACAATGAGTAAAAATTATTAAAATAATGAAATTTTTAAAGGGATTATTTAATAAGAATATGCAGATATCGGTTTGCTAATTTTTGGGAGACATAGGATTGATAATTCACACGTAATCTGTTTTTAAACAACAATAAAATAAATGGTTTCTTACTTACAAAATAGTTCGCTTATAGTCTTTAGCTTTAACTAAATAAAAGAGTGAGATGTCTTACTTTTCGTCTATCGGCAATGCGTTCAGACATCTTGTTAGCTTCTATAATGGCTCTCAATAAACCTTCACCCTCGCCTCGAAGGGCTGGGCCCAAGCATTCTGGTCTTCTGATTAGCAGACGGATTACCAAGTTGGCATTTTCCTCCACGCTTTCGCCTACGATTAAGATTACAATGTTTAAATATTTCTTTCACAATAGAAAGTTAAATAATAAATCAAATTAAAAAAGATGGTAAAATTTACCGTTGACCCAGACACAGAATCTCAAGAAATCGAGATACCGTTCACCCTCGACTGGATCCCAGCCTAAATCAGGATAGCCCTTCTCGACTAATTCCGAATTGGACTGCAGGCCGCATCGCGACAGATAGACAGCGATTTTCTCCAGATAATGTTCCCTCAGGGCCAGAGCTAACTCGGTGTTCTCCATCAGTGAGGAATACGCTACGTCCAATGGCGTCGATCCTCGCAGCGACGGTCTTGCCAGCAGAATATTGCTGTTCTCCAGCAGGAAGTCAAAGTGGTCGAACATGGCCTTCTGATTCTGTCTGGATGTGCGACAGAAGTAGCACAAGAATCTGCAGCAACCCACGACCATCTCGTGAGAGGTGTCCTTCTCCTTCGATGCTGGCTCACCCTCCGCCGCTTGGGCCTGGGTTTGAGCGTCGGACTGTGCCTGGGAACGTCTTCCCAGGGTGTTAATCATGATGGCCATCACGTTCTCGTGGATCCTCAATATTCTAATGAGGTCGGGATGTTGAAAGAAAGTGTGATTGTTCACCAGCTTCCACAGTCGTTCTCGCACCAGCGCTTCCTCTTCCTGGGACATCTGTACTGGTAGCAAGGCACGGATCTGGCTCAAACCGACCCACATCAGCGCGACATCGTCCTTCGTCTTGTTGTTAACGACATAAGTTTTTTCCAAGGCTCTGATCAACTCGCCGACAGTGTCGTATTGCCTGACCAATAGGCTGAACATCTCTCGCACGAGTTTCGGCGTCTCGATTTGCGATTCCTCGGCCCAGCACACGATGGTTGATATTAGCACCTTGCGAAATACCTCTAAACAGAGTCAAATTTAATTGTTTATAAATATATTACATATTAATATCTATTTATTGTAATTAAAGATATAAGATTTAATAACGTGATTAACGAGAGATTTACCTTCCGGAGTTTTTTTCTCGGGTTCAGGTTCAATTTTAGATTCCTCTTCTAGTTCCTTGACAGCATTAATAAAATTGAGGAGGCGTTTCATGGTGCCAGGTTTTTGAACTTCCTCAATTGGTTCGTTTGCGGCATTGGCTGCTTCTTGAAGAGCGGTTAAGGACACGTAGGACATTAACTCGCCGTGGAACTCGTTCATCTTGACAATGAGTTCCTCACCGCAGGGACAATTGTCCGGATCTTCCTCGGCGTCCAAATTCTTAAAGCTTAAAATGGCATTCATTTGCTCGCGCGGGGGACACCTGAATTCTCTGGTCTTCTTGGCAGCGACGGCCGACGGCAAATCCGACTGCTTGATTTCGATGTAGCGTCGCAATTGATCTGCCTGCAATTCTCCAACAAAGTCGGAAGCAAAGGCGATGATGGACTCGACGCGATGGCGCAACTGGATGTCGTTTAAATGATGAAGCAGATAGCACATTTGTAATTTCGCTCCCTCGGCCATTTTCATGTGCAGCAAGCCTTTCTTGTGCTCGTCTTTTCCTTCTACAATATTTTGATGACGTTGCATTAAATTATGTTTCTCACTTATCAATATATTTAACGCTACTTTTCTAATCGACTTGCCTTTATCGAAAGTCGGGTCCCAGGTTTCGGGATGTACCATAATGAGCAGCTTGATTATATCTTCATTTCTCAGCATGCCGACTAAGAGCAATCTATCTACCAGCTTTAGAAGAGGTCTGCAATTTTCAAAATCGCACCAAGATGTATTTGATTGATGGTTGAAACATTGTAAGCGAGAAGCAAGAAATTAGAAATTCCTGTTTAAGGAAAAAATGTGAAATAAACTTGTTTCGTTTTTCGCTTAAATATTTGAAAATAGATACGACGATTATCTTTGCTCCGGTAACATTGACGAAGAACATTAGTTGCAGCAGCGGCAGCGGCAACAGGACTTATTATCTTACATACAGAAAGAGATTCTCATTGCTGCCTCCAATTGGATCTCGGTTGTGCACCTGATTCACTTCGACGGCCTCGTTGAGCGCCATCATCACGTAATCCCGCACGACATCGAGTGGAAAGTGCGGGCTATATAGGTTCTTTATGTTCTCAATCGCTTGGTCACTGGAAGGGACATTCCTTGATGGCAACCGATTAGTAAAGGATCTCACATCTACTTGGAGAAAAGTTTCACTTACCTGATCTCTGTCATTTTCATTTGCGGCCGGATAGATTCGGTCTCCAAATACCTGAGGCTATGTCTCATCTCGTAGTCCTCATATAAATCTTTCAATTCTTGACCTACGCAATAAACAGATCATTACTACACCGAAATGCATATACAAAAATGTATTTTGACACGGGCAATAAAAACGTTTTTATTAAACTTTTAATTAATGACATTGAAAAGAATACGGCTGTCATAAATTCTTGAAAATATAAAAATTAAATACAAGGCAAGCAAAGAATATATTTAAATGATTTTGATAAATCAATTTCTTACCAAGCGGTATTATAAATTCGTTTTTGCACACTTCCATCGTCGTCGCATGTGACTCGAGATGTAGGGCGATAAGTAAGTCGTAAAATCCTTGTCGCAGGGGCCCGGACATATACTCGGCTCGTATCGCGTATAACAATTGTTTCTGGTCAACATGTTGACACAGAGCGTGCGCCGCACGATAATTCGATTGATAGCACAGAGCTGCGTACAATGTCAGCGTATGCGCGTGGAAACTGTGCAAGAGAAGCAGATTATTTTATCAATATAAGAGAGAGAAGTTTAGGTAAAAAAGAGGAAAAGATTTTTCAAGTTTTTTTGCTGTAAATTTCTCGACGTTGTCTTACCTGAGCAGCTTGTCCATCTCGATAAGCTCCAGAATGTCAATGCATCTGTCTTCTTCGGGTATATGAAGAGCCAGCATCGAGATAGCGTCCTCGCATAGCATCGACCAGCCTCTGATGTCGGACAGTTTCAGGGCGTGTACATGAAGAGACTGATTCGGCACTCTGGCCCATTGGTGCGGCTTCAGACATTGCACCTTCAATCTTGGCGGAAACTGCGGTATCACGTGTCGTTCGGAATTCTGCAGCACGGCGGCCGATAGTGGAAGAGTCGTCGAGGTCCTGCCAAGTTCGATTTGCAGTATCTCCTTGCTGGTGGCCTCGACGAAGATCGCCGGGAACAGTTTCGTGTCTGGCTCCATCTTGAATTTGTGACTCGTCTCTTTCCCTTCGCAGGTGAAGGACACCCAGCCTGTGGCGGTATCGACGAAACATCCGACGAACATACCCTGAGATGCACCCTTGCCCGATGCATCTTGAGTGACTTCGTTATACAGTTCATCCGCTCGGACCATATAGCAGCTTTGTCTGTCGACTCTGTAACGTTGTAATATTGTTTTTTCAAGCGAGCATTTTTTATAATTATGCATTTAGTAAAGATTGTATAATAAGTAAAATACTGAAACGCACTGCTCCATGAGACGATCGTATTCGTCTATGATTGCAACAGAAGATTTTCTCACGCGGGATAGATTGAAGTCCTTCGTGTGCAAGTGATATTGCGAGGTAACCCAGCCAATGTAAACGTGGGTCGGATCTTGACCGGGAAATATCCTAACGCCGTAGAAGTATTCGTTCATTAGCTTCATGCACTCAGCGTCGAAGATTTCATTGCCGATCGCTTCGACACCACTTCCGGTTAAAACGGACATCGTTTTGGGAACGTTCCGCTCCGGGATTTGCGGCGGGACAACTTTCAAGTCCGTCTACACACAAAAAAAATTGTATATATAAATTATTATTAAGTTTTTAGATCAATTTTCTCAAAAGTTACAAAATGTCTGGCAAATTCTGAAATTTTTCTCATGAAGTTTTTATAGAAAATATCTTCAAATATTTTTATTTAGATATGCTGCTCGTTAATATGTTGCAATATGTACTCACAGTTGAGACACGAATTTGTGGAGTTTTGGCACTTTTGCTTCCGAGTGTTCTCGTACTTTTATCCGAGATATCCGCGCGAACTTGCGGCTCGGGTGTTTTCGACTTTGCGTCCGGTGATTTCGCTTTGCGCGAGAAGAACCTGCATACACGATAAAAATCAATTAAGTATAACTTATTAAAAATAAAAATAAAATCTCAATAATAAAAAGTAAAATAAATCCAACAATCGTCCAATTCATTACTGATATATTGATTAGGTCATTGAACTAAAAATAATGCTGAAATTATATTTCATAGTAACGCTGGGAAATATTTAAAAAACTTACGGTACATCTTCCATCTCTTTGCTAAGCTTGCTAACAACGTCAAAGTACCGAAGTCAATTTGTCTTTTGCAACATTTATAAGAGACGATAATCATTAATGATTCATGCTTACCGGAAAGGCGAACGGCCGCGTTTCTTCTTGTCGTCCTTTATGTCACCGTTCATCTCGCCATATCCATTCATTTCGGCGTCGCTGATCGCGTTGTCTAAACGTGATCCATAAAGTGAACCTTTCCTGGGCGGTCTGGCAGGTTTACCTCTTTGCATAGGAAGCGGCGATTCCTTCATCATCTCGTCCGCCTCTACCGCGTCTTCCGAATAATTTCTTTGCAGCCCTAACATTATTAGATATTGTAATATTTTGGCAAATTGAATGCTTTTATATCTAAAACTTTTCTTAAAATTACATCTGGTGGCAAATTGATCTATTTCTTCGTAATTCACATATATATCTTGAATGTAAATTGTAAGATATATTTTTAAAGTAATACTTTTTACATTATTACCTTTAATATCGCTCATACTGAAGCCGGACTGCATGATCTGCTCCATGCGAGCCGACGGTGCTGCCTGTTGTGCTTGCTCAACTTGCTCGGCTAAAAGTCTGTTCTGTCGCATTTTAATCTCCTGCCACCTCCGCAATTTTTCACCCTCCGTTACGAAGCTAGATTGGCAAATCACGGGCAACGATAATCTTAGAAATTCCCAATTAGCCTTCTCCATGGTCTCGAACGTGTTGTGGGAAATTTTTAGACACGGTGGCGTGTCGGAACCAGCTGGTATCCTAGCCACGTCGATTCGCGTATCGGCCATGTCGTCGGTGTTCTCGAAAATAGGCTGATCCTTTGTGTACCAATACGTGACTAATCGATTCATATTTCTGTGAAAATTAATAAGCGACATTGATTTTTCTGTTACTTCTGTTATTCCATTTTAATAAAGAAATTGAAATTACTTACACGCAGAATGGTTCGTAGCCTTCCTGCAGACCGCAGGTAGTGAAAAATTTCAGGGTGTTCACATCCTGGCCGAACGTTAATCTTGCCTTTTGACCAACACCAAGGGTGAACGCGGGCACGAAAGAGTCGCCCTGCACGTCAGTGAAAGAAGTCTCACCGCCGAGTGCGTCCATCAGCAATTCTCCGTTTAAAGAGAAACCTACGTAATTCGCAGATTTGTATCGTGGTGTACTTGCATTGAGTATCGCGAAAAGTCGAAACGAACAACATAATCTGGAAGGTTGTAAATAAATGAGTAACAAATGATATCTTTTACTCGGTAACTTGAACTGTACAACATTCGTTTCGACTTATTAAAAAAAAAAAAAAAAAATCCACTTAGGCAATAAATAATTACTACAATTATTCGAATGTTCGAGTATTATACGACATGTTTATGACATGTAAAACACAAACTTATGGTTTCTCTGTATAAAAAAACAATCGTGCTAGGAATTTTAATAAGATTCTTTTTTAATAAGATTCTCTAGTAAAAAATACTTAAAACATTTTGCATATATAATTACAGCAAAGCAGGTGTTGAAACAAGCCATATGAATAAAAGCTTTTGCTTTAGTGTTTAGTCTATTGCTTAAAAAAAAGTTGAATGGAAAATATTACAATATTCATCCAAGTTCGAAGACAAAGCATTCGTTTTATTTTTATTCATACGACCTATTAACACAATTCAGACAGAATACGCATGCAAGCGGCGTTATTTGAAGGCGGTGTAATTAAATAACAAATATATGTATTGTATTATCACACACGGACAATGCATTAGAATAGTAAATCGTACGATAAAAAAAAACAACAAAATATAGATATATATAACCGAGATAAAAAAGAATAAAGATTATAACAATTTAAACGGGAAATGCGCATGTATCTGAGAGATCTCCCTTAATATTTTTTTCTTCGATAGCTCAATCTAGACGCTCACGTGCGGTATTTCGCATTAGTTTGAAATTAATAGTTTTAAAAATATGTTTAGAAAGATGAAGATGCCCCGTTACATTTCCAAAAAATTTCATTGTACTTTGTGTTCGTAAAATACTGTATATTCGGGGATTGTTGTTTCGGAATGTAATATGATATACATAATTATCTGGGGTCACCCTAGTGTTAGTGATTAGTAGATATGATTTATGGAAGCACTGTTGTCGCTGACAGTATAAACACTGAGTAGAGTACTGGATACCGGAAAAGACATTGGGCAGACATGTGATTTTCATCGCTCGTGGACATGGTATTATTAATGATGATAGAAACCAGGACTGTTTCTGGTTTTATAGTTAACTCCATACAGAAAGATATGTTAAAATGACAAGATGAAATATCTTTTGTGTCAGAAATGCATGATTGCTCCTCTTGTTCAAGTCACAACGGAGTTTTCTTATCGAGAAAGCTTAAATGGAATGATTCTTCGTCGAAGTGCGTGACGCGAAAATTTGGCCTGACAAACGTCTATTCAGATTCTAAAGTTATATGGTCGCGTTCGGTATTAAACATTATTTTAATTTTGTACAATGATTATAATTAGTTATTCAATTTTTACACCGTCATGTTTTTTTTTATTCTATAATATTCTATATAACTCGTATAATGTCTATTCAGTTAATATTATACTAAAGACAACTATCTAACGAATAAGTATGCAAAAGGACAATTTTTTTCAAAAATCGCAATGTCTGTATCCAGTAATCTATCACCAGAGATCAAATCAGATCAAATTGTATGTGTATAGCTTGAGATAATGGCAGCTGAAGCGTTCGCTTAAAAATTCCGTCTTACTAATCGTTCGATCAATTAGATCCAGGAACACGCCGACAACGTCTCCGACCTGCCATTGTTTGCCGAACGTTTCGGCCGTGCCCGAGTATACTTTTTCCTCCTTTAAAAACAAAATGTTCACCAGTTCAAGGTTACTTTCGCTCGGAATAAGATTGGGACAGACCGGTAAATCGAGACGCTCTATTTTTGCCGCGCGGACTAAGATACATCTTGTACACATTTGTCTTCCATCGCTATTAATACGCATATCGATGTTGTGCGACATTAAAAGTTTCGACATGGTGCACAGTTAAGTAAGATACCTCGAGGAAATTGCACGGGTTTTCCCCTACCTCGATATCGATCAAGATAAAGCCACACTTCGCCGAATGAAATTTCACCAGCGATTTTTTTTTATCTGTCTTGGGACAAAGATGCAAGATATAAAACCAAGGTCAACATGAAAAGAAACATATAGAGCGAGACAAAGACAATAGTAGTAACGAGAAAACTCAGGAAAAGAGAAAATGATATGTATACGTATAGTGGGGGCCTCTAAAGATCGGCTAATTTGGGAAATGGGACTCTTACTGATCGTTCGGTCTGCCACGTCAATGAAACATCCAACTATGTCGCCCACTTGATATTTGTGACCAAATGACTCGTGGGTGCCAGCGTGCACTTTAGTCACCTGACATTCATGTTCTTATGGATTATTCATGTTTCACAGATCGCGAAGAGCCACGTGGCGCTTAATGTTAATATTCGCATTCGTCTTGCAACACGAGGACTACCTTGTATAGATTGCACGCAACCTCTCTGATTGATATTTTTGTAAAAATAAATTGAGCACGAACATTAAGGTTCTCACCCCTTTCATGGCTATAATACTTCAAGTTACACAAAATAATATTAGATAGTTTTTTTTTTTTTTATAAAAGGCGAATTTGAATTTAATTTGCACAAAAATTATTTTATTATTGATTTCTATATTTTATTTATTTTATCATTTAATCATTATATTAAAATTAAAAATCTATAATACGTTTTATTGAAAGCTAATGAAAAATACTGAATTATCGTTTTAATAAATTCCATTAAATGTTTTCTGTCGTCCTATTTCGATTTTCTTCGATCGTTAAATTACGGAAAGAGGAATTATGCACTTACGTTATAACCATCGAATGCCCAAGTACTTTCATCACTGCCCAGCATACTTCCCGGCATGCAATCGACTTTCGCCCAACCGACTCGCATAGGTCCGGCTGTGAGAACTTCGAACTCGAAATACCATTTTCCGCTGCTGACCGCGTAATGCTTCTCGACCCTGTAAGTCCTGAAGTATAATTGTCGTAACCTGTTGGCCTCCAAAAGCAACGCTATAAATATAGAAAGTAAATACATTATTATTATTATGTGTAATTCATCGAAATCTCAAAAATATATTCAAAACAAGTAAAAAAATCGCTACAATTATTTTAATTTAATGCACACGCAATTAAAGCTTTATGAATAACCAAATGCAAATTAAAATTTGAGAGAATGAAAATAATTTGTATTAAATATGATAAATAATTATTATAAACAGTAACTAAATATCAATAATATTTTATATATGCGTTTTGTAAGTATTTGAAAATAATGCAGCGTTATCTTCAATTATCAATGAAATAAAAAGATCTTTTTAAAAATAAACGAGTACATTTAGAGCAAGAATTAAAGGTCTCACCCTCGTGCTGTTCTCCAGTAGGTGGATCAAGCATATATCCGTAAACCAACAGGGTCCTAACAGTTTCGCTCGCTGTATCTCGATTGGCTTTTTTGATAGCTTCGTCGACTTTCGGATACGGTACCAAGTGGGGACTTCTCCTCATCTCCGAGTCCTCGTTTAACCCATACGTCCATCCTTGACTGATCCTTTCCTTCGCCCAGAGATTGTGCGTGTTCTCCGCCAGTTGGTCAACGAGCTCCTCCATCTTCGGGGTCAATGTGATCGCAGACAGATCAAGCGGCGCCGGTTTATATCCACTGCTCTGGAGAAACGGTTCATTCGGCAGCCTCAAGGTTTTTATTCTAGACGGCGGCTTGTCCATGGTGATATAATAGCCCAGAGCCAAAATGGTCTTCAGGGTCTGCACAGCCAGCTGAGTGTCGTAGCGCTTTTCCGCGGCTGGAAGTCGCTCAAACTGAACTATACAGGGGTGTATCTTCCTGAGGTCATCCCTAATTTCGCCATAGATCCAACCGGCCTCGATCTTGTTCATCGCCCACATTTCATGAATGTTCTCCGCCAGCTTATCTCTGATCTGCTCGACATAGGCGGGTAGGTTGACCATGGATGTGTCGACTGGAGCCGGAACGAAGGCGGTGTCGTCCTCGACTAACCACGGACCCGCCAGGACCACCTTGTTCATGTTACCGAAGTAAAAACACGGATCCAACGACAGAATTTGTTGCGGCAGCAGACTCTCTACCAGCGGCGAGAACTCTTCCGGCGGCTGGAACTTCAGTCGGCCGTGATCGCCGCCCAGCAGAAATCTGCAGGAGAGTTTGGACGAGCAACTGATAACGGGGAAGAACATGCCGTCCAGATTAAAGTTCCGAAAAGAGCCCATGATGTGAGTGCCATTAAAAGTAAACGTTATAACTGGCACTGTCAAATCCAAAGCGCAACCGATCACGTCGCTTTTTCGTATGAAAGGCTCGGTGGCATTCTGCACCACCTGCGTCTTCCTGCCACCGGTCCATAGATAAGCGCCGTCGAACCCGAACGAGTACAAATCGTCGCCGACGCCATTTCCGCCCCATTTTTCCCCACCTCCGGGATACGGCATGTAACTGGAAAGAAGCAAGTTTTTTTTGCATTTGTGCATTATTGAATTTCTCGATAATGCGAAACTTAAAACTTAATAAATGCCAAAGATATGTAACTACCACCTAATCTAACCTTAATAAACTATATAGCCAACTTTTAACAAATTTTGACACTCTAATTGTAAATGAAGGCCTAGAAAACGTAGTCTAACTTAATTTACCCAGCCGTGTTCGCCCATCCGATTCTCAAATGCGGCATCATGTGAGTCGTCTGTTCAATGTGATCCACTGTCACCTCAAAATACCACTTTTGATAAAGAGCCGAGCCCTCGACTCTGCCGACAAATATATTCGGTCTGACGCTCGCCACGTGATCCACCAGCTGCGTTTGGAGGAGCAAATTTTTTCCAGGCAGCAGAAAGTCGCAGATGTTATTTTGCGAAGAGCGTACCGCGACGCCGTTACCGACGCATAGCGAACACAAGACATCCAGAACCTTCGGATCTCTGCCGTGTTTCTCCAGCAGAGAGATAATTACTTTTATATGCTCGTCCTGAAAAAAATCAAATTTATTTTACAATTTAAAGTTTGATTACGAATTATTCCATAAAATTTTTATTTGCGAGGATATTTTCGTTTGCCAAATAGCTAATCTGCGTTGCAGAGATTGCAAAAGATGTCACAAACCCTCATCATGTTCAAAGCCTCCGGTGAATCAATTAGAACGCAGTGAAGTACGTCCAACATTCCAGTTCCCTCGCTGGAAGCCTGCGAGCCCAATCGGCTGAACAGCCAATTGAGACGATTGCTGTTGGCGAACTGGGCGCAGTTGGTGTGATTTCCTTTGATAATGGCCGCCAGTAGTTGATAGAGATACCCGGATATCTGATCCCATGCCTGACCGCTCTCGTCGCCGGAGAGAGCGACGAGAAATCCTTGCGAAGTGATCACGTTGATCTTGTCGATAGCTTCGAGAATCAGATTCAGTATACCCTCCTCCTGGAACAGATCCTGACGATTTCTGAGAGCTCGAAACTTGTTCTGTTTCTCTTCGTGTTCTGAAAGAACAAGTATCTATCGTTAGCAAGATAGTCTATAGAGGCTTGTAAGAGAAGAAGAGTATTCTCTTACCCATGTCGTCCTCGGGTTGAGCAAAATAATTAATCAAGTCTTCGAGACACATTACCATCTCGTTGAGGTTCACGTTTTGAAAAAACATGGACGCTCTTCTATTCACCTGCAGTGTTTCTAGGCCTCTAAAACGTATTAGATATTTTTAGCCAACTTCTACTCCGTTTTCTCTCTACTGATATCCGATATTTTTTTTCTCTATCTCTCGTACTGCTATATATAGTCTATAACGTCTTTTTATCTCTTTTTACGTTTTAAAAATATTTTTAATTGCAAAAACTTACGTGATGAATTGAGTAAACAAGCTACTGCACTTCCTGATGACGCGGGCAGTGCGAGATTCCTCTTCTTGGGATCTGGAAAAATCTAAACCGTCGTCCATCTTACCCTCTTCGTGGAGTACCGCCTGTTTCTCCTCGACTTTCCCAACCCCCTTCTTTTTTGTCTCGTATGACTAAAACAATATCGCGTGATAAATATCGTGAGAATTTCTATCGCAACTTTTACCATAACTAATGACTTAATTATTTAAACGTTTTATTTAAGTCAAAGAAGTCAATCAGCTAAAATTCTTTTTCTTATTTTACGTTTTGAGGCGATATTCACAGTCAGATCTTATATTTAAGATCGTCTCAAATTTATCTTTAGTCGCTGGACGTCTGGTTTCACTGGCTACAGAGTATCTGAAGATGAACTTAAGACGATCTTTATGTATATAAAATCTAACTATAAATACCTTGTTATTTAGAAAAAAAATATATTCTCTTATTTACTTTATAAGACACCCAGAGGCATGTCGTCGCATGTTGCATAATAACTGTAGAATCACCATATTTGATAATTGGCATTCCGATGACCTCCAGATCCTTGTCCTCGAGAACAATCTTCTGATCGTCCTTCTCTTGCCGCAGCCAGAACGTCGACGTTTCGATCGTCGCCTCGTTCCTTCGAAAAAGAAAAAAAAAATCCCGGATTTAGGAAACATTATCACGAGCCTCTAAGAATCGCCGTGACCCTTGAACTTTTCTAAAAATAAGTATCAACCTATCGACCAGATAGAGCTCGTTGTTCTCCTTTACGCCGAGATAACGTCCGGTTGTCAAGTGCCTGATCCTCATAGGATGCAGCCAGTTGATGAAGCCGCCCGCCCATTTCGTCCTGGCGAGCTCCAATCTCCATAACGATCTCGCTTGGCTCATTACGCTACCGCCCTCGTAGATTACGAGGCTGTAAAACGACGAAGAAAATATCTGTAAAACGATTACTTCTATCCTCTCTCCTATTTTCAGGATGATGATAATTAAAAAAAAAATCTTGTTTTATTGGGACATACACAGCATGCATGCTCAAGAGCTTACTTTTGACTGGGTGCTGGACTCCACGTCGACGGTATCGTCAGGCACTCATCGCCACCGTGGAAGAACCTCAACACGTCGCCGCCGAAAACGTAACCGACGTACTTCATCCTGCTGATACCGGTGCCGTATGGCTGCACCGACCAGTGAGTCACGTGAAAAGACGCGTTCACCACCGACAGGTCATTTTCTTTTGTCGTGTGCTGAAAGGAGAGAGATATGAATGTATTTTCTTTTCTCATCTCATAGGAATTATTCTGCGAAACATTTTTATCTTTCGACAACGTGTTAAATTTACCAAATATCGTTCGGTGGCGACAGACACCAGGATAAGATCGTCACCTACGCGCACCTTCTCACCCTCGGATCTCTGCTTGGAGGCGGGGTGGACGGTCCACCAACACGCCTCACCTTTGAGAGAATAAAAACTTTAAGAAATTCCGAAGGAATCACAAGGTTCCATTCGTGCTTCTCGACTCGTGAAAAGTTTATCAGCTTTACACGTCAACTTTAAACGTCCAATTTAATTTCAATTTGGTTAAAAGTTATAATTGCGTTTAAGAGGTACTTATTCATGAATATTCAACAAAGTGGTATATTATGTCGCGGTAGAGAGAAATAACGTTAACTTTGATAAAATAATTTGTTGAGCGTTGAAGCGTAATTGCGTTGCACCGACCATGAGAATGTTCCTGTAGACCGACGTCGAAAGCTAGCTTGTCGTTCGACGAACTCGTGGACAGGCACGCCAGGTACTACGACACACGATCATAGGATTTACGTAACCATGAAAAATTAATGTGGCATAACAGCGTTGTTATAAAGAAGAGCAATTTACCATGTCGCTGTTTAGATGTCGCAATAATATGGCGTTACCGTATAACAAGGTCCTGTGCCCTGACCCGGTGCCCTTTCCCTGGAAGCATCAAAGGATTGGTCAAAGCCCTTGCAACCCCTCGTGCTCGATAGTATTCCTCACTACGTATATACCGTACGAGATTTTAATAGTTCGCAAAATAACAGAGTTTCTTAGACAACTTCTACAAGCGTACTGATAAGAGAAGGCCATAAAATGCTGCTACGATACGAAGCTCACGAGGCGTAAATCGAAGACACAGATCGCTAAACGTGTTTTTAACGTAGACGATTAATACATTAGGCAGCCAAACGAAAGAAAGCGGTTGCTGTTATTAGTCTCAATATGTTCGTTATATTAATATTAACCGTAATTTTCAGGCATGATCGCTTAATCGATCGATGGGTGAAATAATGTCTCGATATTTAGAGAAAAAAATATAGGAGAAACTAAATAATTCTATAAAAAAGAAAGTTATTCTTAAAATGTTATTAAACGAGTCTTTGAATCTTTGCTGTTATTTAAATATAGTTATTTAAATATATATTTAAATATACAAGCTCGTTATTTAAAAAATTCTGACTATTTAATTTAATTTATAAAAGTATAATGTCTGTATCGCGCGTTCGATCTTCATGTTGGATAAAACTCAGCCTCGCTAAACTTTCAGTAAATACGGCGCTAAATAGAAACATGAGAAGAGACTTGTATTTCAAAATTTGGCTGAGGCGCGAAGTAAACGACTCGTATCTTCACCCAAATTCGATCGGATGTTACAACGTTCTAGCACACAAACAAATGTCGTTTTACCCAAGAGCACATTACGGCGCCTCGCAGATGGTATGTAAATTGTACTTACTAAACTGTCTTGTTGCTGCAAAGAGAAACATAAGAGGCAATGAATCTCGTTCGTCAAATGTCGAATTCGATTTGTTGAAAGAGAAAGAGAGCGAGAGAAAGAGAGAGAAATAGAAAGAAAGAGAGAGAGAGAGAGAGAGAGAGAGAGAGAGAGAGAGAGAGAACGATAAAATAATACGTCTTGCGATTGATGATAACGGTGAGTTTCGATTAAATTTTTAAATGGTGTTCTGTTCTTTTCATGATTCGAGTAACATGTTTCGAGTGACAAACTCACAGATGAAAATGGGAATGATCAACAAAATGAAGAAACGTGAAATTGAAATCTTTGTACATGACTATGGACACATGCCGCACAATCATATGGATAAGGGGTACGGTGACGGCAAGAGGGGGTTGCGTGCGGATGCATTCAAGAAAAGCTATTCCGATGTATCAGGAACTTTTTGAAAATTATTCGGCGGAGAGATTGAGAGCAGACCTAAAGGTCTAAACAGACTGCGTAAAGATGTCTAGAAAATATCCCAATCTTTCTGCATATCAGTGTTGTTCGGGGATTTGTTTTTACATTTTACACAGAAAGGCAAGGGGGCGCATTTTATGGCCCACTCCTATGCAGGTTGAGCGCGTGTAGCAGTCCAATATTTGACGACTAATTTGAAATGTAAAGAACGTCGTAATCGCGAAACGTATGATTATACTATTCGCGCGGATTACAATTAGCAAATCGTATGAGTCGAGCTCGGCTGTACGAGCCTTGTCGTTCATAGTCACGTGTTCGAATTGTTCCCTCCCTTGAAATGAGAGAGTCGCTGTTTCTTTGATGGCACGAATGTTGAATAGAAGCTACAACTATTCCCTGGATCTACGAGTTTCGTTGGCGAAGCTGAAGTCATACGAGTGTACGAGATATTAAGCAGATATGTTATAATCTTATACTTTACCGTCTCGGAGCCGGCAGCGGTGACCAATTCCTGTAAGGCCCTCACCGAGAGGGCCTGCTCTATCACGAATACGCATTGCGACAGGTCCGGTGGTATGTTCTGGAAGAATAGGATAATTAATGAACACGAGAACGAGATGAGAGAAACTGCCTGCTAAATTCGCGGGATCGCTTTTACCTTATCTGCGATATTTTCGAGGAAGCAATGTCGATTACCGAAACCCTCAGCTGCCAGGCAGACCCTCTCTCCTGTTGCGGTACAGGACAGGCATACCATATCCTCCTGTAAATTTTAGATGATATCTTTACATATATTCTGCATAAGGGCTCATGTACAATGAGAGTCGCAAAATCCAATTATGAATTCTCTCTATGTTTAATTCCTTGTTCCTTATTCCTCTCATTGTGCATGAGCCTTAATAATAATCTATTTCATTTTTTAAGAAAATCGATCGTAAAACCCAAAATATTAATTTTAAAATAATTTTATAAAATTCTTAAGAAGAGATGACTTATTATTAGAGTAAATCTCTTTAACAATTACCTTAAGGATGTTCTAAAGGCACCATCCCAACCAAAAAGTATGCAGGAAATATTAAAAACACCGATATAAATTCTCCAAGGATCCACAGACAAAAAAATGTATATAAATAGCTAGGGCAAATCTAATAGAATGTAAAAGACGTAGATTTAGTGACTGTAAGTAACGGTCACTATACCATTAGAAAAAAAAAATTCCAAAAAAAATTTTTGTAAATCGTTTCAAAGTTGCTAAATTTTTGTTTGTTGACGATCTACTTGTGTGTAAAATATCATTATATTGGTAGAATTTTTTAATGTTTACACTTTTTCTCTATAAAACTCGAATATTCAAAAATTGATAACTTTTTATCTAAATTGTGAATCGATCTGAAATTTGGCCCCAAATTTTGAAAGAGGATACAGAATATAATATTAAATTTTCATCAACTTTGTAGCATTTTTATCCAGAACATCCTTAACATTATATGTATAATTTTATATGATTATTTCAAAACTATGTAATTTACAGTAACATTTATTTTCGATTTATTTTTATCTTGTAATATTTCCATCGCTTTATATAGCCATTCCGAAATTTATGATCGTAGTGCAGATTAACAAGAGACCTCGGTGCGAATTTCTCTCGTGATTGCATCGTGTAGACTGTAGATGTTTGCTGTGCTGCAATAGTGCGCAATACTGCTCAACGATTATGCAATCCACAATAGATGGTCCCACGGCGTAACGATGCGTACGCGAGTCTTATGCATCGGAGGGTCGACGAAGATGCAGCCGTCAAACGACCGACGGGCTGATATCATCGATCGAACGATGTCGTTTTGAAAAATTTTCACCGCCGTAGTAATAACGCTTTTGCGAAACCGCGTGAATTATGATGCCGGCCGAACGACAGAACGCGGCCGCCGTGCCAAAACCAATTTGGACGACCTCAAGAATGCACGAGGACAGGATATACAAGTATGCCGGCTTCGAGTGTATACCTCGTAATCTTTGGACGCGTTGCGTTTTGCGTTGAGGAGTTGATGGCAACGTTACCTATTTAACGCAGACTCGCAATAACGTCGCGCCTCGAAAAGCTCGTTGAGTGAGTCACTCGATTTTGCGTCGCTCGATTTTGATCCTTGAACGCATAGGTTCTTGTTCTTTTGTACTGAATTTTACTCCAGAAGAGTACTTTACCTTAAGCTTCATCTTATTTGTTCTTTCCTTTTATTGCAATCTCAAAAATGTTAATTTCTTATATTTTTTTCTTACACTTAAGCTAGCTACTATAATCAAAGAATTATGTATTCATGCCCTTCAACTTTAAATGAAAATGGAAAAGAAAAGAAAGAAAATGGAGCCAACTGTATATGCATCCGTAAAAAATTTATGAGCGGCTATAGAAACCGGGTTGAAAGTCTCACAGGGGAAAAATTGTTTTTTATCTCGTTATTTTTGCAATATATGTTTAGGTCGGATGACTTCATCCTTCAATCGGTACACAGTACACACCTATATATAAATTACGTGGTGATGAGTTCCTATAAGATAAGGTCGCGGTTAACAATTTCCAAGCCCAGTTTTAATGATACGCGGAGAAAATTAATACCGGCGGCAATTATCTAAGTGCTCTCTTTTTTAACACTGTTCTAAATAAAGCAATATGCGTAATCCAATTAAAAAACTCATATGAAATTATTTAACTGTTAATGCAAATATGTAAGACACTATTTTTTAGAATTCTAAATCATTATTTTACTAATATTATACAGAAATTATTATACAGTACGTTATGGATCGAAAACTAAAGTAGATTAAACATGTTACGCGCGTTGTCAGCCTTTGGTTAAAAAAGTGGATAGTACCTGCCAGCAATTTATACCCGAAATATTCTCCAATTTGTCACGCTAATCAGCACGATTTATTGGCAATCAAGAATGTGACAACAACGCAATTAAAGCAATCAATCGATTATAGAGTTAAATTGAAATCGATGGCAGAAGCCGGGTCGTAGGACGCGATCGTGCAAAATTAAATTGTTTTACACGACCATACTAATTGTATCACCACACCACATCCTCTTTTTCTCTCTATATACTCGTATTTTAATAAGAATATAATTTGAATGTTCTCAATTGTCGGATGTAGTTGGCGATGTGCGACGCGACGGTGCGCGTAACCGTGGACGCGCACGCACATCCCCGACTTGCTCAAGTTCGAAAAAATTAAAATGCAACGGAGAGAAATGTGGGTGTGCATAAGTAATGTTATAGGACACATTAACATAACTTCCTGCCGGGTTAAACGGAATGGCACGCGATTCGCCATACGTGAGCTCGTATATTTGCTTTTAAGACACGCGACGGACCGAAAGTTTCCGCTGGAAATTTGGCAAGAAGACCGAATCTTGTTTATCGAGATATTAATAAAGTGCAATCGGTTAATTCGCTGACGCAAATAATTTTATAAATTGTCGGATTTTACCAACGTTAATTATGAAGTGTTTATCTCCCCAATTCTCTAGTTCGCGACTATTATGTTTTTATGTTAATTTACGCGATAAAAAAGTTATAAGTATCTTCTTTTCTATATCATTTTCGTAATTATGTTTACGTATATCTTCCTTTGAAAATACTATTATAATTTTTTATTGTTTTATGTTAGTAAGTGTAGTATCGAGATTATAAAAACATACTTGCAGGATTTTATATTCAATTTCATCTCTTGAAATATAATTGTTTGTAATTTGACGGATAGACGCGCTACGTATGCATTGATAATTAATGAACATACACCGTTTACTTCCGGCGTCCAGCGGACGATCGAAACCACAATATTGCGGTATAGGTCAAGGATAAACCTTTATTTTACAAGCAGACAACCCCTGTAATTCTATCAAACCGACAAATGATCATAAATCATATTTACCCTTTACACATGTTTATGTTGCACATATTTCTAGACTTCTTATTCAAATACATAAAAGAAAAAAACTGCATGATAGGAGAAAATTTATGCGTGCAGGTTTATCACATTCACGATTGAAGATATTCAGCGGAATTAAAATCTCGTTATAATCAAAATCCTGAAAATTTGAATTGGCTTGAATTAACCCTTTCGAAGAGTTCGAGCTTGACTCAATCCTTTCCAATTCAAGTTCACTGAAGTTAATTTAACAATTCGTTGCTTCCTTAATTTGTTAGAAATATCGGCGTGCAAAGTGACGGGGGCGTTTGATAAACATATCGCTAAAAAAGCGAGCCTCGTGACGGCACCACTGAACTGGAAGAGGCTTTAGAAAAAGGTGTTCCCGTCGTGCGTGCACTATATATCGTTTGTTGTTCGATAGTCGGTGCATCCGACGATCCGACGCACGCTGCATCGCGTTATATTAATTATAAATTCATCACTTTTTGATGCGACATCACTAATGAGAGCTACGCGAGCCGTATCGATCAGACAGAACAGCGTCGCATTAAATTCTAAAATTAACTAAAAGCGACTAGCTGTATTAAAGAAGCGACTTTTAAAGAAGAACCCCGATGTGTCGGAAACTTCGCTAGATTTCTATGCACGCGACATGCGCAGCACGTGTCGCAAAGTTCCCCGTCAGCGAACTGCACAATGAATCACTCGACTGTAATTTAAGTCTCCTCGAAGACGTTGAGGCGAAATGTAATTAATAAAAAGAGATATTATCTACAATTTTAATGAAGGAATTCAGATTACATTGTTACACATATTTCTTCATTTTATCTACGAGAAAATATGAATAATTTATCTTTCGTAATTCGAAAATTAAGTTGTTTTATTCGAACTTTCTACATAAATTAATAAATCACTGCAAATTAAAATTCAGGATGATACTTCTTGAGCTCTTATTTTTGTTAGGAAGCAATTTCCGCGACAAAGTTGAAATGATCGCAATTACGAAGTTACATACAAATTTAACTTTGCACGCGGCTAACTTTATCTTCGATGTCGAGCGTACGTGTGCATATTCTTGATGCTCGATCTTATTATATTCATTTCTACCAACGCAAATTAACTTTATAATCTCAGTTTAACTTACTTTTCATCCTTTTCTAGTTGTAAGAATTAGAAAAAAAATAAAAAGTAAATTAAATTCCGCGTTGATAGAAATGGACATAACAAAATTACTGTTATCGCAACGTCGCTGATCGATATAGATCCCGTCGACTATTCTCGATTGTGCGAAGTTGAGAGAATTAAGTTCGTGAAACTTCAGATGTTTTCGTGCGGACGACATTTCGCTTTCTTTTCAAAACCAAGTCAAATTATCAAGTGAAAATTGTGACGGCAGACAACGGCGGGAGATGGACGAACCTAACATTTACGAAAGCAGATCCGACGAAGGCAGGTAAGCGACATTCCGTGATCCGCTGTCGTGTTCGGTTTCACAATCCGTCCGCAGGAAGGGTGGCCTGTCGAAAGGTGCGCATATGACGTTTCGTGTAAGAACGCGAAATGATCCATTTCCTCGGTCTTGGCCGGTTCTGCACGATACGTTATCGCGATGCAAATCTAACGGAAATGTATTTTCGCACGCGATTTCGCCACAGTCTTTAAGGCCGTTTAATTCCACGAAGACAGGCGCGACCGTATCGATGATCGAAGTCATTCTCCTAGAGAACAATCGACTTCTTTGCTCAACGTTCCCGCGTGCTTTATGTATTATATACATATATACTTCGTGGTCGTAAAAGTTTCGCCGCGAGTCATAAAATAAGTCGAACAGCAGAACTTTGCAAATAACTTCGAAGAATTAAAGACCGAAAGTTTCGCGAAAGTCGATTCCAATCGTCTTAATTGTCCGTAATGCAATATTGCACTAAATGCATACATTAATAATGCATTTTAAGGGGAGATTGTAGATGTCAATTAATTAGGATCTATTATTTATAATGAATTATAAATGAAATACACAATAAGAGATAAACCGGCTGAAACTCTTCACAGACGTGTTAGTGAAGAAGCGGATAAAGATACGAGCGAGCAGACAAAGCAAACGGATACTGAGAAAGCGCGTTTGGATCGTTGTAGACGAAGAGCCGAAAGAAAAGCGCCGTGCCAATGCGGTCAGGGTTCCAGAAGGAGATCTAGAACTAGATCTAGAAGAAGGAGAATACGGAAAATTCTCTCGCAGAATCCCTTCATCATTTTCTATCTTGAGATGTATTTTAAGAATCCTGAAAAACGCATAACAGAAGTCGCTCGGCAAGCCGGCAAGGAGTGGTGCGCCTTGCCTCAGGAAGCGAGGATGAAGTATATACGTCTGGCAGAAAGAGAACGGAAAAGACGACGGAAGACCGGGAGGATAAGAAGAAGAAGGCGCAGACGCGGCCCCGATCGCCGTTAAACGCTCCAGAAAGAAATTTCGTCACGACAAATATGGAGAACTAGAAAATAAGCTATGTTTGATAAAACATAAAACTTCTGCTAACAAGCTTGTTGAAGTTTAAATTTACATTTTATTAAACAAATTTAAATTTTTATTTTATGTCTAAGCCGTAACACGAAATATTGTCAGTAACATATTCTTATATGTACCTTACCAAAGGTTATTATGTGTTATACCAATACATAATTTATATATTTTGGAATTTTTAAGTATCAAAAGTTTTGGATAGAAATTAAAGAAAATAGCGCAACGGTTGTAACAAACACGAAGACGAAATAGAAAACAATTCTGTACAATTTGTGAGCAATTTTGTGTGACGAATTGAATATTTTTGAAACCATGTACTTTGTGATTAGTTTTTAATTTTATATACAAATATATATTTATTTAAAAAATTGAAACTTAAGTGCAATCGTTAATTGAGTATTGAAAATAAAGCATGATGATTAATTATGGAAAAAGAATATACTTGCATTTGCGACTGATTGGAATATTCAAAATATCTACATGTAAATTATTCGTAGCAAAAATATTATTTTATTACTCGACTAACTGGCAACAATATAAAGTAAAGGCAATGTAAAGTTGTTGCCAGTTAGTCGAGTAATAAAATAATATTTTTGGTTTTAATCACTGGCGGAAAAAGTTATTTTTTTTCTAATTATTCGTAGTACAATTAACCACAGGTATCGGATAAATAAATTAATATGAAGAGGGCATAAATTAAATGTCATGACGCAATGATGAAAGCACAAGGTTGTAATCAACGCGACCAACGTCTGATCTCTCTAGGCCGAACGAGGTCAAGGTTGTGCTGCACACTCCAAGTGCTTCCACGCTTCTAAAATCACCTACAGTTTTTCTAGTCATGAGTTTCCATATAAGAAATTGCATACGAGCGTTTGTAAATCAAAAATGCTCAGGCAGTTTTTAGGTAATTTAGGTTATTCTTAAATTCACTTAAAGTTGGACACGCTACCAATACAAGTTACTAAATTATTAATTACAAATTCGTGAATTTAATCGATTTTTAATTAAAAAAAATGCATCATAATTCAATTTGATTTGAAAATATAACGTGTTATGTAGTCTTAACTAAGATTTCTAGAATTACATATTCTTCACATTATTATTACATATGACGCGTCTGATCGATATTTTCAATGAGGTGCATAACAGAAATCATAACTGCGAAGCTATGTACCGTAACATTATCACTGTACTGCATCAATGCAATATGCGTAATGCGCCGGCTCGCCTCGTGCAAATGCGAGTCTGCCCACTGCCCACCTCCTGTGATGTGGTGCGAACAAAGTTCCACCAACTGCCATCGGCATTCATTCATTTTCACACGTACACATCGCCGCATCATTGAACGCGAATCACCTCCCCTGTTCACACTTGCGCTTTCAGCGGGCACACTTGCTGGCGTATATTACACACTCGGCTCATTTTAAATTTATTGATAACCATACATCTTTCATATCACACGCATCTTTCACGTGAACCTTGCGGAGTTATTAACATCAATGAAACTGTGTAATCTACGTCTGGTTTATCGCGGATAGATTCGTTGAAGCAAAAAGACCATCAACCCGTCAGTATCCATTAGCGATTTAAATATTTTTATTTTGTTAAATAGCAGATTTAAATATAGCTTTATTTCGTTAAATAGAGATTGGTCGAGAAAAGAAAATTATTTGTAAATAAGTTGTTAATGAAAAATGCGATAATCTCTTCTCACGCAAACTCGACGATTTCTCCGCCCTTGATAATAATCTTGACATTTCTGGACCATTAATCACGAGAGATTCTTATTAGCATTGTTTGCTGAGTTATTCTCCTTCGCATACCAGAAGATAGCAATCTTTTATCGTCACTGACATTGCGTGAGCTTCCTGATCACAATCTCTCCGACACCCCTTTAAACTTCGAAGCCAATGGCTCCTTCTATCACGCGATCTCACAGGTCTCACATAGCAAAGTACGACTTACCGTACGGAGGAATGATACGTCGTCCTGCTCGGAACCACCCTCGCTGTCGGCCATCCCTTCGGCGCGCTTTCACGCGACGAGCCTCCTCCTCTGTCTGCGTCGCCCCTGCGCGCTCGTGCGTGCGTACGCGTACGCAGGTGTGCGTGCGTATCTCGCGTGTCACTTCGTGTCCGAGGCACCCTTGTCGATGCTCGAAACGGAACGCGGTGGTCATGCACAGTTCTGCGTGGACGGCATGCTCTTCCCTGTCACGCTACACACGGACCCCTGGCCTCTTCCGTCTCGTCGAGAGAATCGACGTCGACGACGCGTTGAACCGTCGTAGGGCACCGACGATCACCCACTGCTGATCGGATGGCACCTAGACCGCTCGCCGACGGCGACGTCTCTCGCGCAAGCGCCCGATACCTTCAATCAAATTCCGCATGCTCGAGATTCCGTTAATGCGAAAAATCCCACGGCTGGGTTTACGCGGCTTTCGCGTTACGCAGCCATCCGTCTCACCGCGAAATATTGTTGGACAGTTTTTCCTTTCTTCCTTTTCGAATAAATCTCAATAACGCGATGAGGGTAGTTTTCAAAAACGAAAACGCGCAACCGTGTTGCGGTAACTTAAAGCAGAATGGAATAGTCTTCTATATGAATGGCTCTCTTTTTTGACAATTTAAGAGTCTTGGAATTTTATATATTTTATTTTTAATTAAGAAGAAAATCTTGAGTCTTTATATGATTTGGATTCATCAAATCTTCGGAAATGGAGTAGTGTTATGTATACATGTGTCGTAAACAGCCTCGCTTATTAATGCTCTCATACGCGTTATTAAAATTCTAAGTAGCACATGACGAGACAGGTGTGTTTCAGCGATTTTGCAGACGTGTAAAAATAGTTTCGAGCAAACACATCTCTTCACTGATGAACGCAAAGGCGAGGGTTCATGAATGAGTCATGTGTGAGTGCTCCGTCAGATTATGTTACAGAATTAGAGAGTATCTCGGATTACGAAATGTCGCAAAATGTTACAAATAAATCATTTAAAACAAGACTAATTTGATCCAGTCCGCTTATGTTACGTACAAAGCAGTTGATAGTCGTCGATACTCCAGTTTCGATTTGCATATTAGGGCCAGAAGTACCAGTTATTGATTGACAGACGATATTATTACACTGCAAATGCGAGCGATAAAGGAAATACAAGATGTTAACTATAACATCTTAAGCTATAAGCACTTAAACAGTTTTTAGCCTTTACACAAATAGTAGGTATAGCATTTCGTTAAATATGTGACATTTTAATGAGTACATGTATATATGACATTATAACCATCGTTCGCTGTAATTTGAGAATGTTACAAGCCAGATATTATCAAACGATTTATTTGACGCGACAGTTTTTGCGTCAAATTAAATTCTGCTGTTTTGATTTAATATAATACATTCACTGGTAGCAGCTTAAAATTAGTTCTTAATAATTGTCGTAATATATGCACAAATTTCTTATGCCTTTCTTTGATTTTCCATTACGATGAATAGATCACACACAATACAGCACACAGAAAATAATTTTATGATAAATAATAACGTTTTTAAAAATATGAAAAATCAATATCTGCTATGTATCAGAATGCTTTGCTATTGTTTCATTTATTTTCGAATTCATAATCGAAATCGTTGAAAGTGATGTAAATTACGTCCAAAGATATTGGATGCATTTCGCAATATATTTTAATATCTTGTTTATATTTCAATTTGGAGTAAAAGTTTTATACTCTCTTTCTCTAACATGGCAAAAAAACTACTGTTTTAGCAGCGACGATGCAATGCATCGACACAGAATTACGCCTGGTTGATTTTACCTTCTCTGAGAGGCTATTTCCAGCAACGCGGCAGAAATAGATACATCCGCGATGGCTTACCGAAATATCTCCATACGCTTAGCGAAGCTCGCCTCCCCATTATCGCATTTAATGTGTTAATCAGTTAATCGAAGGTTGAGGACGGTTCTCGAGTAGCACATGTGAATGTCTATCTTTAGAAAAACTCTAAAATATTCAGTTATAGTAATAAGAATCGCGTTAACTGTGGGTATCTACGTCCTACGATACTCGCGACAAAATAATCGCTTCGGAATGAATGAAATAAAAATTTCATAGAAATCAATAAAATCTCTATATGTTCTGACATACGTTCTATAAATATTTCTTGTATCTTTATCGTTTGCGATATTGAACGTTTTATATCGGAAATGACGATTCACTGTTACCTTGAAATATTATTTCGTAATGATACACAGTATGTGAGATTTAATTAAAAAGATTAACTTTCTTGAGTCAATTTAAAATTAACAGATTCCAACGATTCCAACTGAGGAATGTCTTTTGAATATTTTTATAATGTCTTTCTGCCGTTTCTGGCGAAGCTATTCTAGAAAGCAGCATTGTATAAGAGTATAAAACGGAGTTTTTAATTTTAAGATTGTCTGCTAAATTTAAAATTGCACGAAAATGTGAAGTATAAAACGCAAAACACATCAAACTTTTTCCAAGTAATTAAGCATCCATTTAACCAACCCTGTCCCTGAAATTAATTTAATGATTATGTAGCATGCGTTAAAGCTACACGTAAGATCGCTATCGTGAGATGCATGATATTTTTTGGATGATATTCCAAATTTATCGTACAGAAGTCACATTTATAAAACATTTCTAGGAAACTATACTCCGGAGAATTTATTAATTAGTTAAGAAAGTTGGATTACCACGCAAAAAAAAGCACCACGATTTTCGAGAAGCACGTCACATCACACACGCACACATGCACGCCCTATGTGTAACAGGGTGCAACCGGTGGTTTCGTTCTCGAAATCCACATGCGCGTGTCCGCGAATGAGAACAAATGAGAATTAATCGCGAGTCGCGACGATTCACCGAGAGAGAACTCACCTCGTCACAAATCGGCGAACTACGTAGTCTCGCGACCTCGCGTAGAAATCGCGACTTCGCGAACGCACGCACGGCAAACGCACCAGGGTGCGAGGGATCGTGTTTTTTCACTCTCGGCCGGAGGGATTCTTCGGGGGACCGAGCCTCCTGCTTTCCTGACCGCGCAAGATCGAGCCCCCGCGACGGAATACCTGCCTAAGCTCGCGGAGCTGTGCCGAGCCGAGCGGAGCGACGGCTATTTTCAGCCTCGAGCCGAGCGAACCGCGCCGCTCCGCTCCGCGCGTTTCGTATCATCCACCTGCGGAGGAAGCTTCGGGGAATCGTCGCAGTCGCGACGTCGAAATCATCTGAGGGTTGTCAATGATTTTTTAATTAATACGTAAAAAATTGAAAAGCATTGGCAATTTTTTTATGGTCTTGAAATTTTATTATTCGATATTATTCTTTGATACCTCATTTTTTTTACAAATTATTTTTTTTACATCGTTCTTGAGTAGTTTACATGGTTTACATATATCCGCGACAGCGATACTAATTGTAAGATAAAGCTCTCGGTGTGACCACAAATTCGCAGTAATAAATAGAACAATAGGAAATTAAATTATTATAACTTGAATTTTCTATATTTTGAAAGTGGTCATTATTGCACTTATTACAATTAATTTTTTGTTCCATAAGATATTATACTTATTATAGAATTGGTTTAAATTTCTACACAATGTATATCATGTAAGAAATTATTTATATATAGGTAAATAGATACATTTAATTTATACATTTTGAAAAAATATGTTATTTCCATATAATATACATTGTGTAAGAAATTATACTTATATGCATACATTTTGTCAAAATAATTTATCAAGAACTGATTGATAATTTTATGTATCAGATTCATATATTTTTAACAAACAAACATATTGTATTGAATTAAAATTCAGAATTTAATTTGATGCAAAAGCTATTGCGTTAAATAAATCATTTGGCGATATTCGGTTTATAACATTCTCAAATTTCAGCAAACGACTATTATAATCTTGTAGGAATCTCGCTTTTGTTGCCATCGATCCTTGCCAAGATTTTCAATGTGATACATCATTGTCACAGGGACACGTGGCAGAATGGATTCTTCAGAAAATAAATAAAGCACAATCTACAATGTGCGTGCTCTGTAACCATTCTGAAGAGTATAATCTGACCCAAGTTTACATACTTACTGTGCCATTACAATTGTTAGTAATCGACTGATAGTTAATAGACGGTTGACAGGCAATTGTCTATCGTACAGCTGCAGGTTTTAACCTTAGAACATCTTACCTTAGAACATCATACCTGGAAAAGGGAATTGCCTATTGAAAGATCTGTGTCCAAATCCAAGTTGGGTGCGAGAGAGAAAAGTAAATTGATAACATTTGCTCGCAATACGCAAGCGCAGAGATGACATCACGTCATAATATTTAATCTCATAATTTACTGTGTACACAAAATATTACATATATTATTTACCTATGACAAGATAACCGATTTATCACGTGTACCGTTAAGACACAATATGGGCCTGGCATATTAGCGAGTCGCGTTTATGCAGTGCGGGCGAAGGACGAAAGTTACTAATATATCCTTCTCTTTCCTTAAAACATAGTTCTCTCTCGCACCTAACTTGGACACAGGACACAAGCTCGATCCTTCATTCTCCTTCCAGGTATATAAATATAAATATATGTTACAAGGTTTTTTGAGAGTGTCTGATAATTGAGTTATATGACGGTCTTTGAACTTGCCGCCATGCGTCAATTCCTCGAATGCGCAGAAGCTGATTCTGCTGACTGGACTGAGTGGAGTCGTGTCGTTTGTACACTCGTCTCTTTATTTTTTTCGCTGTTAGGTTAACATCCCGCTAATTAACAAAGTAATGTTGGGGAAAATAAAAACGAAGCAGGAAAAAAGCGGCGGTAAGTGAGATAATTACCTTGAAAATTAATGCAACTGCGACAAACGCGAGAAAGTCGAGAAACCCCGTGGAAATCTCTTATAGGTTATGTTTGTTATTTATTTATTTGCCGTTTAGACGCAGGAGCGCATAAATTACTGAAATCAGTCGCAGTTTATCTGATTAGTCCGCGAAGTAACATAATTAACTCGTCACGGTCGATGAGCCTGAATTGTAGATTAATTTTCGAAGTTCCAGAGAAGTTTCCATAATTTTATTTTTATATTTAGTAGAATATTACTGAATAAAGCTATTAAACACGATTACGTGTTGCAGAGATCGTCGCATACAGCGAGGCGGCAGTTGCAAACAACTCCGCGGTTGTGGAATACTGTAAGATCTCGATGGCAGCTTTATCGGGCGGTACAGCTGGACTGCTAGGATTAACCGGGCTGTACGGATTCGGATTTTACGTCTTTGCGGTTTTCGGGCTGTGGGTAAGAGCGCCGTGATAATATTAGAAACTATTTTACATAATGCCACAAGCCATCTTCGTAGGCGATGCTGTTGATGAAGGCCGGCGGCCAGTGGAGGAAGTATTTCATTAGCAGGCGGCATCTCTTAACCAGCGGGTTCTTTGGCGGGCTTTGCGTATCCTTTAGAATGATTCCTAAGGAATGAGTTTTATTTTCAGAGGCTGTTCTATATTGTTTTCCTTAACTGTTGTGAAACCTTCTACAGACGTACGTGTTATTCTGGACGTATCCTTTTTCACAATACAATTGATACGAGTAATATGTTTTTATGGGCCTGTTCTTTTTTTTTTCAGCTGAACTTCTTTCTCGGTTCATCTTTTCTTTTTTTCTCTCCAACATGAAAACTGAACTGTGCAAGAAGTTCAGCTGAAAAGAACAGGCCTTATATATTGCGCGATACTAAAATGCTGTACATTTCTTAATGATTGTGATTAGATTTTTATATGGGATGGTTCACGTCTATTGAGAAGGGAAAGGACGGATGGCTCGCGGCAATTGTGACACACGCAGTTATTTAAATATATATAAAGCTACATAATTACTATAATAAGCCAGTCATTGTATTTATATTATTTAAGCCTTTCGGATACTGACCAAATAAACGATGAAGCGTTCACGTGATGTTGTACAAATATGTCGATATGTATATAGAATGCACTTTTCATCGCGATATTTATTATCCAATATTTGAACGTAAAAGTAGAAAGACAATATATAAGCAATGCAATAGAGATATTATATAGGAGCCATATTCTCTTTATTGGATGTATGATATATATATATATAGACATGATATATATATTTGCATAATAAATTATTAATTACTGAGTTACAATTATTTGATGAAGATTACTCTGATAACCATATACATATGTATACTTATACATGCAACGGCTGTGAACACATTCGTGCAAATAGTTCACTATTTTAATCACCGTTATCAACAGCTAGTATTTTAATCAATAATTAATATTATCTTTAATCACTGAAATAAAACGCTTAAATTTATTCATGATATAACATTTCTTCTTTAAATATCGTCGATCGCTAAACATCTTAAGCGCTTTGACAATTTTCAATAATTTATTGCATTTTATATTTTTATTTTACTGTACATGATTATTTCTACGTACATTCTTTGACATTCTAAAGTAAAAGAATCTCTCACTCACTAGGGAAAGAAATATGAAATCGATACACAATTTCCACTAGTTTGTACTTAACATGCTCATTTTCTACTTCGGTGTTTTTAATGCTTTTATCCACTCGCTATTGGCTAACGTTGTCTACAAAAATGGAAATTGATTCATATCATTAAATAAAATCAAAGTCATACCTACCGCATCCTTAATAATGATATGTATAGCTTATTTTAATGGGTGTTAAATTTAACTCACGGGAATAACTCGATTTCGGCAGTGAAAGTCAATTGCATTACACAAATATACTTAACACAAGGACAAGTATTAGTTCTTGCGAACTGACGGATAAAATTCCTGGCGAAACAGCGCCACTTTGCTGAAATCTGTGGGAAGACCTCAGATTTTCGTTTCGGAGGTTTGCTCGTGTGCTTTTGTTTCTTCTCGACAGATCTCGGTGGCGATCTCGAAAGGCCTTCCGGTTTCCAAAGCCTCCACTCTCCTTTCCTCGTCCATCTTGTCCAGCTCCACTTTGCTTAAGTGATAGACTATTCCAGCCCCATAGCCATCGCCCAGAACGTTTATCGAGGTTCTGATCCGATCCCTTAAAATAGAGAGCGATTAAGTTTACTCTTGACTCTAATTTTATCGAGGCATTGTAATAGTTAGGCATGTAAAACTTACAACATCCAGTCGATAGCGAATAACAGAGAAACGTCGTCCGTAGGGAGACCCAAGGCAGTTAGCACCAACAGCATGGTGACCAAGGCTGCGCTGGGGATGCTTGCGGCTCCAACGCTCGCCAAAGTAGCCGTAAGACTATAAAAAGAGCAAATCTTGAGGCAAAACATTCTTTTAACGCTGATGATCAGATATATCATGATCCTTTTCTTCAATTGTATATACCTTAAAGTGAAATAATTAGCAATTTCAAGAAGAAAAGAAATCGTACTCTATTCATGAAATGCGTATACCTGACGGTAATGACTTCAACGAATCCCAATGAGATTCCATTCATTTGTGCGATGAAGATCGCGGCCACGGCTTCGTAAAGAGCTGTGCCGTCCATATTTACGGTGGCACCGACCGCCACAACAAAGCGCGTCACTCGCGTATCGATCTTGTTGTTTTCTTCGAGGCAACGGAAAGTTATGGGCAAGGTCGCCGCACTATAAACCCATGTATCGATTATATCATTGTCATTCATTTAGGTCCGATTGTTCCAACCTGTTGGTAAACTAACTAATAGTTAAATCATATATATGTCCTTGTTTATCCTTTACATTAGACAAAGATAGACATATTTAACTATTTAACTATTAGTTAGCTTACCAACAGGTTGGAACAACCGGCCCTTAAGAAGTTAACCATGCCAGAAAATGGAATTTTATGCACAATTGATTTAATTCATGAATATAAATCCGTGAGGTCATTTTTCAATTAACTTTGAGATAATCTCTGGATTAACTAATCATTGAACGAACTTTAAAATGATGATCGCAAAGAGTTTAAATTAATTTAAAAAATGTTTTTATACACGTATAATATGCGTGCCGAGCAAATCAATGATTACCTCGAAGCGGTTCCCAGGGCCGTCACCCAGGCTTGCATCATGCCTCTAAAGAACACCGCTGGATTCTTTCGGGTTATAAACCAGTAGATCAACGGCAGCGTGATGATCGCGTGGATCATCAAGCCTAATACAACTGTCACCATGTACAGACCTAACATCTCGGCGGTTGCCGCTAGATTTGTGATCGACATGATTTTTCCAGCTATCAGACACATAATTCCAAACGGAGAATACCTACAGCGATTACCAATTGCATTGTCATAAAAAGAGAGAAAAGAGATTTTATTTCCTTTAAACTTCAATATATCAATTAATTAATATTCAATTAATATTTGAAGCTTTATTGATTTATATATTCCAGAAACTTGCATGAAAATAAAATTGAATAATGTGTATAATATCAATTGTTCCTCGAACTTGTACGCGTTACGAAAGTGAATTATTTATTCGTATTGTTTCGTACCAGACGACGACGATCGTGACGAGTTTCATGATAATATCGTTCAACACCACGAAGAAGTCCACCATCAGTTTGCCGCGCGGTCCCAACTGGCCCGCGAGCACGCCAAAGATGATGCAAAACACGATCATGCCCATCACGTTCGTGCCGTCCTTATAAACCAAGGTCGGCTCCAATATGTACTCGCTTTGATTCGCGCTGCCGATCACGAGCACTTTCTTCTTCACGTAAGAAGTCTGAACCTGCTGGAAGCACGCTTGCACCAGGTTCTCCGGCAGCATGTTTCTGGGAACGAAAGAGAGATTTCGGATGCATATTGTGGCCGTCGTGGTGCTACACAGAAGCTGCTTTTCCGTACCGAATTATGTCGAGGATCGCGTCTACGGTGGAGACTTTCGTCTCCTCGGCCTTCACCACCGCCGCGACCGTACTTTTGATCTGTGGATTACCCGGATGGATCATCAGCACCATCGCGATGCCCACTATAGCGGCGAGAATGGTCGTTATCGAGTAGTACGTTAACGCTCTGATTCCTATCCTTCCTGATCTTTGAACGTCCAGCTGTGCCATTCCTGAAATAAGCAAGTGATCGCTCGTACCTCGCCAGAAGGGGGAAGACAGAGGCGAGTCGGAAAGTTTCAAGCGTATAATATAATATTCCTATTGCAATACGAAATTCAAGTTTTCGTTTTTATTAATATTTACGTAATTGGATTTTGTTTCTTCTTCTTTTCATTTCATTGTCCGCTCAAGATCCAATTGTCGTTGAATTTTATAATTACCGGAAATTAACGACGAGATGATGAGTGGCAGGATAAACATCTTCAGCATCCGCATAAGGAGCTCTCCCGGAAAGCTGGCGAGGGTTATAAATTGCGGCGTGGGATTGGCCAATCGACCCAGAAACCCGAGACCCAGACCCATCAAAACTCCAGCGATGGTCAGTGCCAGAAGCATGTTACTTCCCATCCATTCTATCACCTACATTCCCCATAACGTGCAATGAAACTTAATAGACTTCTAAAACGCACGCTGCGTGACATTTTTCTCCCGTAGAAAATAACGAATTTATAATTTTAATCACAATGCATCCTCCTTCGTTCTTTCATCGCTTATTTTGTCGCGAAGATAATTAAAGAATCAAATTGAGAGTACTAATACTGAAGGACCGAAGCACTTAAAATTTTATCAACGCTTACGTAAATTTGATCCTTAAAAAAGTTTACTGACCATCTGTAACCTGTCGAGCGCCGTCACTTTGTGCTGCGCTTTGGCCTCGATCTCTTCCTCGGACGTCATCTTCTCGATCTCCTCCACGCACGACCTGGAATATATATACTCCAGGTGAGAAGCAGCTCGGAATTTTTTCAGCAAAAGCATAAGAAATCTTTTACGTGTGGCCGCCGCCCTCCTTGGCCTCCGTCGTGGCTCCCCGGAGAACCGCAACCGCGCCGGAAATACGTTGCCCCAAAGACATCCTTTTAAACCTTCGAAGATACGTCGCTTCAAGATTTCAGATGAGACGTAGCACGAGGAATGTCGGGATATAGGCCTTGCGAGTCTTCATCCCGCGGCCTTCATAACTGATGCGTTGTGCCTCGTTTAACGATCATCTTGATTTTATTCAGACACTCTGACGATGACGTCTACAATTTTTCTGGATTACCAGGTGTAGAAGAAACGTATTATCCCCGTACGATATTTCTCGTGGGGAATTATTAAGGAATACAATTATTTCTCTTTAACGCAATAAGATTATCTAAAATTTTACAACGTTAAGAACTAAAGAATCCTATTTTTAGCTTCGCTTCAGAGAGCGAAGTTAAAACGCTTCCACTGATATCGTAGAAAAATAAGGTGCGTATGTGAAAATCCGCGATTATCTCTCCCTGGATTATCACGATAATCCTCCGCTTCGCTTTCTTCTCCCGGCGTTCTCCGGAAAATCAAACTCGGCGAGCGAACACCTCTTCTCGCGAACGATTATCGAGGCACGTGCAAAGCGTTTGGTAGCGCATCTCGCGACACACGACGATCCTTTCGCGCGAACCACCGGGAACCATCAGGGCAAGCTGCACAAGCGCACGCACGGTGAGCTGAACGCTGGCCCCGACGATGACAGGGGGGGATTGGGGGAGACGACACGGAGACGGAGTAAGGCCCCGAAGGAGGTCACAACCGATCTATTACGTTCAGGATCATTGCACCGCGCCGGTTGCGGGCAGGAGTGACATCCGCAGAGCTTCCGACGGTGCTTTTTCGCGCGCGCGATCGACTTGCCGAGAAGATCGGATAGATCTGCCGCCGCGCGCCGTGCCCGCGCCGCCGCCGGTGGGCTCTAGGTATCGCGCCGCGGCGTTGGGATCTGCCTGCAATCAGGCCGATAATGTGCCCCATCCAGGAAGTTGATTAGTGCGCGCGTCGGGGGAGGACCCGGGGGAGACGAAAGGCACGCACCGAAAGGGGCGAGGAGGGGCGCGTGAGGCAGATGAACGGAGATGTGTCGCGAGGAGAAAGAGAGACCGGTAGATCACAGGAAGGAGGCACTCATCACGGCGCGGGTCGCACGGCACCGAATAATAAACGCCGAAGGGAGCAAAAATGCCGCTCTGCTCGATGAGTTTCGCAGAAACCGCCCGACTCGAGAGATCAACGCTGCATATGCTTATATTGATGAATGGCAAGGCACGTTGAACTGGAAGGTAGAGGAAATCGAATGAGAGCGGGATGAGAGGGAAGAGACTTCAACGGTGATGTTGGAGCAGCGACATCGCGAAGAGTGCTGAATCGTTATCTCATAACGCGTAAGAGCCCGCATCAAATCCGAAACGTGTGACGTAAGGCCAGGGTACGAACATTGATAGACAAAAATGAATATAATTATATTGATCTATATAATAACAATAAGACTTTGGATGATCTTTTACTATATGGGATATGCTCATTTATAAGACAAATGTTTCGTATTATTAATACAGGTTTTTGCGTTATATTTTGAAAAGTTACAAAATACGTATTAAGAATAATTATATAAAATTTTCTTTAGATATTGAATTGTCGTTATCAAAATTATAATTAATTACATATATTAAATTATTAATTTACCGATTTAATTATAGCAATTTTAGCTTTTTTTGTTTAAAAAAGGAATTTTTTTTTTACTGTCTAAACAAAATTATTGAAATTACGTACGTCTAAAATTCAAATGAGACATCTTAAAGACATCTTAAAACAATTTCTAAAAAGCGTTACAAATTGGGACATTAGATATTTTAAAGACATGTTACAAATGTTTTTCCGATATTTTCATAAAACGTCTTAAAAATTTTGAGACGACTTAGATGACTTACAATTAGACACCATAACATTCTCTGGAATTATTTTATTTATTGTGAATCGTATGTTATAATCAATTATATTCTACTCGCGGCTTTCGCAAGAAGATTTCAATCGAAATCATCGGTTTTCAATATCTTTCGCGAACGTGACAGTGATAAGAGGTAACAGTTACGCGGAAATATTTGCGCGTGATTGTTTTAGATGCATGTAGGATACGACCATTTACAAGACCCCTTTGTATATCCGTTGGGAAGTAACCTAATTCCTCTAGCAATGACGGCTATATAAGTGACTATATATAGACATCGGGTTCACGGTGGTAGTATAATACGAGGACAAATCGAATCTCCCCACGAGATAACGCGTTTAACATCCCGTAACTTCTGAACGAAAGAGCGAGAGCCATTCGCGATGGAATTAATTAATGCGTTCGAGAAAATTGAGTTACAATTGTCGTCGCTCGTGTATTCCATTTGCATAAATTCAAACTTCATTTCCTATCTCTGCCTCGTGCACTTCGCATTGCACTTTCGTGTGATGAACG